CCCAGGAGGCCCCCAAAGGCGCACAGTGAGCCCCGAAGAGGCGCCAGAGAGGCCCAGGAGAGTCCCAAGAGGCGCCCAAAGAGCACCCCAAGATGGCAAACCAAATGCTTTTCCTGAAGTTTTTTAATTTTTGTTCGTCGTCCTTGTCGTCGTCGTCGTCGTCGTCGTCGTCGTCGTCGTCGTCGTCCTCGTCGCCCTCGCCGTCGCCGTCGCCGTCGCCGTCGCCGTCGTCGTCGTCGTTGTCGTCGTCGTCCCCATTCAGGGTCGGCTGCACTGGCTGTAAGTCCTTCGCATTCGACAGGACTTCCGGCCAGTGCCCACGCTGATCCCGAAGCCACGCTGTTGCTACAGAAACCGTCGCTGGGATTCCTCAAGCCCCAGCGTTGAGCGCCAGAACATGTCCCCACTGAGTTTAGGTCGGGCGTGTCCCACTACAGGCGGATTCTGGACGAAACGTAAAAACTAGTCAAAAGATATACCCAAAATGTTCAAAAATAGTCAAGGCATCGTCCCCATACCGTTTTTTGAATGTTTTTGAATTTCCTCCTGTAGAAGGACAGGCCCGACTTAACCCTGAGTCCCAGGTCGCGCGACTGGAAACGAAGAATCGCCGACGGTCAGAGCCTGGGTCGTGACCACGAGGTTGATGCTACTTGCAGTAGGCGCATACTGTAATACATTTTTTTCCCACCAGAGGCAGAAGGGTCTAAATCGCTGATTGTCTGACGCCCATCTCGCTGGGCAGGCGCTTGTTAAAAACCTGTCACTAATCTTCGCCCTGGAGTGCGGATGACTTGAACGGGTAAGTCATAAGACTGCAGGAAAAGATGCGCCTGGCCGCGCGCCTGGAGGAGGCCATCTACTTATTGATGTACTCCTTGGCCCCATAGTTGTACTGCTGCTGATTGGTCTCCACCTCCATGCCCACGAACTTGCCGGTCACGATCGGCTTGGCGTCCGGGTTGGTGGTGGTGCCGTAGGGCGTGTTGTACTTGAGCGCGGCGTTCTTCAGCACGGCACCATAGAAGACGATGGCGAACGCGCACAGTGCCCAGTACAGCGGGCTGATGCCGTAGAAGACGTCGAAGTACTCCTTGCCGTTGTACGTGAACGCGTGGGCCGCCTCGGGCGCGGCAGCGGCGAGCGCGCCGACCGCCGCCAGCGCGTCGCCGCGCAGGGCGGGGCCTCGCGGGGCGGGCACGAAGGCGCGGGCGCCCTGGCGGGCGGCGCAGGCGCAGGCCGCGAGCACGCAGGCCGTGGCGAGGGCGGAGCGGGCCATTCTTCTCCGCGGGGCTTCCGGCGGTGCCTGGGGGGCGGCGGGGCGCGCGGACGAGCGGAGCTTGAACCAGCCGGGCCTGGGCCAGCACGGCCAGGGACGCAGACGAGAAGGCGTCTTGGCCTCGGAGGTCCGGGGGCACACGCGACGTCGATCTCCGAGCTCCGTGGGGCGCCCCGGAGCTTCTGCGGGCCCCCTTGGGCCATCGAGGGACAAGAGAGTTCAGCGGGGCACCCGCTGGCAGGCTGGTTTCTCGTCTACTCTACCGTGCCTGCTGTGCCTGCGAGTTTCTCAACTGGATGCCCAAAGGTCTCACAAGCCTGCTGACCTGGGCGAGAGCGAGGGGGCGGAGAGGATGGGTGAGGGGAGGTGAGGGCAGGGGCAGGGCCAGGGGAGGCAGGCGGGTCCTTGCAGATCTGTTTGATGTGGCCCAACAGCGCGTCGTCCCAGGCCTTCACCGTGTGGAACAGCCTGGCCAGCAGAGGCTGTGGAGGAGGCTTCCCCTCCCCATCTCGCCCCGCCGCGCTCCGCCGCGCTCTCCCCATGCCCTCCCCCGCCTCGCTCCCCACGCCTCCTCGCCCCTTCACCTCGCCCTCGCCCCCCCCCCCCTCTGCTCTCCACACCTCCCTCCACCTCTCCCTCCCGTCCCCGCCGCACCCCCCCACTCCCCTTGCCCTTGCCCCCGCCGTCACCGATCTCCAGAGCCCCCCAGCGGCTTCCGCCTGGAGGCCCTCGGGGGCCCGAGAGAAGATGAGCTCGACCCTCCCCTCGCTGACCCAGAGCCATCCCCATCAGAAGGGGATAGAAAGCAAGCCAGAAGCAGAGAGCCAGAAAGCAGTGGAAGAGAAAGAGAAAGTGAGAAGCCAGAGTAATAGAGAGGAGCCCATCCCCATCCTCGCCCACTCTTTCTGCTGCTGCCTTCTGCCCTGCCTTCTCCGCTCGGACATGCGCGCCCCTTGCCACTTCCTGCTTTCCCTGGCACTTCACCGCTCGAAGTTGCCGGACGCTATCCACACTGCCCAGTCGTCTCCGCGGGGGCCTCCGCAGGCCTCCTCGCGCCCTGCAGGCCCCCCCACCCCCGAGCTGGCGGGCGTCCTGAGCAGCGCCCGGACCAGCTCCGCCATGATGGCGTCCACGCCTCGGCCGTTCGGCGCGGCCCGATCGGTACGACCGCCTCGCGGCGGCGGGGGAGTGCAGAAACTCCCCCCGCGGCGTCCAGAAGAGTCCCTCGACCGATCCGACTTGGAGGCGCCAGGGGGTCGGAACTGGCTTTGACGGGCGAAGGGCGGCATAGTATAAACTCTTGCGCTGTCGGGGGCGCCTGCCCCAGGGCGGCTGGAAAGTTTATATCCTCACGGTGGCAACGTAGAGGCATATGAACTTTCCAGCCGCCCAGGGGCAGTCGCTCCTGGCGACGAAAAAGTTTATCGTATACCTTTCCTCGCCCGCTAATGGTTGGAACCCCAGGAATCAATCAGGAGGGGGGACGAATCCACATCCGCAGCAGCGGCTGCGCGGCGGCCGCTCCTGCGACGCACCCAGACACCTGCAGGCCTCCCCTGCGCGCGACGGCGCCTAGGAAGCAGCCAGCAAGCGCCCAGGAAGCTGTGACGAGGCTTCACGACGCCCACAAGGCCTCCCTTCGTCTGGGGGTCGGCGGAATGGCGTGAGCCTTTTGAATCGATGGGGAGGGGAGATTATATAGGCCTCCTAGATGGGGTCGGAAGATCTCGCCGCATGGCCGATGCATCGGCGACGCCGGCGATGCATCGGCCACGTCGGCGTGGGGAAAATTGGGCCCCACATCGAGCCGCATCGCCGATGCATCGGCGATGCGGCACCATCCTCCGACCCCATCTACTCCGATCCCATTAAGGCGGCCTAGAGCTGAGTCCAAATCCGCTAAAATCGGTCCCCAGATCCGTCCGCCCCAAGCCCGAAAAGGGCACGCGGCGCAGGAAATGGGCCTCGTGGAGCAGGACAGCGGGGCGGCCCTCGCGAGGGCCCGTGCCGCGTGCTTGCTGCTGAGCTTGGCCGTGCTCCTAAATCCCTGGATCGCTGGCGAGGCCTCCTCTTCCTCCTCCGCCTCCTCCTCCTCCGCTTCTTCCTCTTCCCTCCTCCTCCTTCTCTTCCTCCTCCTCCTCCTCCTCCTCCTCCTCCTCCTCCTCCTTCCCCTCCTCCTCCTCCCCTCCACCTACTCCTCCTCCCTTCCGCCTTCCACGTCCTGCTGCTCTCCATCCCCTCTCCTCTCCTGACCTGGACCTTCCCCTCCTCATGCTCCTGCTCCTGCTCATTGTCCTCCTCCTCCTTCCCCTCCACCTCAATCCCTCCCCTCCTCCTCCCTTCCCTCCCTTCCTCACCTCCCTGTCCATCCTTCTCCTTCTCTTCTCGTTTCCCCTCATCCTTCCTCACTCCCTCCTCTCCTCGTCACCCACCTCCTCATCATCCTCCTCCACGTTCCTCCCACGTTCTTCGACAGGCCTCCCTTCTCCTCCTCTCTCCTCATTCTCCTCTCATCTCTTCCCTCCTCGCTCGCCCTCCTCCTCGCCTTCTTTCCTATTTTCTTTCCCTTCAACCTTCTCCCTGGCTCTTCCTCTCCCTCGTCGTCCCCCTCTCCTCCTTCTCTTTCTCCGCTTATTCTGCCACTCACTCCTCCTCCTCCTCCTCCTCCTCTCCTCCTCCTCCTCCTCTCCCTCTCTGCCCCCCCCCCCTCCTCCTCCTCTCCCTCTTCCTCCTCCTCCTCCTCTACTCCTCCTCTTCCTCCTCCTTCTCCTCCTCCTGTTCCTGCTGCTGCCTCGCCGCCCCTCTGACGAAGACTAGGCCAACTATCTTCGCGCTTCGTGCTCCGCGAAGCGCGTCGAACTTCGCGCTCTCGCGCCGCCCACCCCGGAACAGGATGAGGGACTCGCGCCTTGCTCTGAAATCGCCCAGACAGCGAATCACGACTAACTTCGCACCTTCTTGGTGGCCCTGAATCCCCATGCTGCCTCGCCGCCCCTCCGACGAAGACGACGGAGTCGACGACGGGGTCGACGACGACGACGAGAACGACGAGAACAACAACCACGAGTCCACGTTGGAAGGTCGACGACCACGGCTGGGAGGTCACCGACGGGGTCGACAACGAGGTCGACGACAACGACGACGATGACGGCGACCATCGACGTCTGGAGGAGGAGGGGGGGTAAGGGAAGGCGGGGGGGTCTTTTTCTTTGCGGGAGGTCCTTGTCCTCCTCACCTGGGGGGAGCCGACAGGGGGGGGGGGGACTGGCCGAGGGGGTGCAGCAGTGCCCAGGAATGGGCTATAGCGTGGCCGACGGATCGGCCTTCAGACAATGTCATTTTTTTTTATATATATATATAACATTTCAATATGGGGTCCCCAGGAGTCCCGACCCTTTCCCCAAGGCCAGCTTCTCATGCCGAATTGACGGTCCTGGGGCCCCGTCCGGGTTTTCGCGTCGTAGCTCGGGTCCCCCGGCGGCGGCTGCTCTGGGCGATCCAGGCCCTCTGGTACGCCTCTCGGCGATATGCGCAGCCGCTGGAGAGCACCCGAAGGCCGGAATACCGACGAAAACGTTCGAACACCTAGCCTTAGGTCGGGCATGTCCCCCTACAGGCGGATTTTGGATGACAAATAAAAATGCTCAAAACATAGTCCAAAGATAGCAAGCAAATGCTAAAAAAATCGCCCCCAGACTATTTTTCGACAATTGTTGTATTTTCCTCCTGTAGAGGGACAGGCCCGACTGAAACCTGGCCCCCGAACGTTGCCCCTGACCACTCCCCTCGGCGCCCCCGACCACCTCACCATGAAGGAACCGAGTCCTGTGGGAAACGGGTCCTGGACCCTGGGGGGTCTTCCTCCAGGACCAGGTCTTTCTCCGGAGTCGTTTCCTGACAGTCTCGGGGCCCGTGGGGGGCACTGGGCAAGCGGCGAAAAGCCTCCGGACCCGCTTCCATCAGGACCCGTTTCCCGCGTGGCGACCCTTTCAACCTGTGATGATGCCAGCCCGTGGACATGGCGGGGCATGCGCGTCTCTGAAGGGGCCCTAGGACACACAAATAGATACACACAAATAACAGGATACCCTATATTTTCTCATATTTTCTATGGGATCGACGATTAATTGTGTCTGTGTGTTTTTTCCCCTCCTGAGTCTCGTGAATGTCCCCTTCCCCGCCCCCGTTCCTCCCTTCGCCTCCCCCTGCCCCCCGCCTGACAGGGCGGGCGCCCGACCGCAGCGAGCAGGCGGCCGGGGCGCGCGCAGGCCTCCACCGGGCGCACGCCCGTTTGCATTGTCCCTGCCAGGTCCTGCCCGCAGTGCCCGAGCACCGCCGGCGGGCCCCCCCTGGGGACGTCCCGCGGCTCGGGCGCCCCCGCGGGACCTCTCGCGGGCCCTCCTGCGGGCGGGGCACGCCGCGGGACCATCTGCGGGCCCACCTGCGGGCGGGCCCTCCCGCGGGCGGGGCCCTCCCGCGGGCGGGCCCTCCCTGCGGGCGGGGCCCCGCGAGCCCTCGCGCCAAAGGCCCGCGGGCTCCGGCCAGGGGAAGTGAGGCCCACGGGCCGCGCGGCCTCCGCGCCCACGTCTCCAGCCGGGGAGGCAAGGGCGGCAGGGGGCACCCCGCACCCCAGGAGGAGGAGGAGGACGAGGAATAAATAAGAGGATGATGATGATGATGATGATGATGATGATGATGATGATGATGATGATGATGATGATGATGATGATGATGATGATGATGATGATGATGATATGATGATGATGCTGATGCTGATACTGATGCTGATGCTGATGATGATGATGATGATGATGATGATGATGATGCTGATGCTGATGATGCTGATGCTGATGATGGTGATGATGAGGAGGACGAGGAAGACGAGGAAGAGGTTAGACGCCCGAAAAGGGAAGGCCCAGGGGGAGAAAAAACAACTTGGGGTGGAGTACCCATCCGAAGAGCTCTTTCCAACCGTGCGGAAGGTTGCGTCCTCACGGACCAGGGGCCCCGCCGAGGGGGTCTGCGCCGAGAGCAAACAAATGCGCCGTCGGAGGTCTGGGCTCTGCCCGTCGATGATCGAGATGGGCTCTGGCCGGCCGCTCGCGCACGGCCAGGGCGCGGCCCAGACAGGCTCGCTCCTCATACCACCTCGCTCCTCCTCCTCGTGCTCCTCCTCCTCCTCCTCCTCCTCCTCCTCCTCCTCCTCCTACTCCTCCTCTCCCTCGCTCCTCCTCGCTGATCCTCGTCGCTCCTCGCTCCTCCTTCTCCCCTCCTCCTTCTCCCCTTTCTCCTCATCGTCGTCGTCGCCCTCCTCCTCCGCCCCCTCCCCCTCCTCCACAATCATCCCATTGGGGCACCACTCTCCTCCCTCCCGGCCACTTCCTGAAAGTATCCTTCTCTCTCTGTGTTGCTTTGACCACACAGGATATCATACATTTATTTGCTCATATTCCTTTTGGCTCGGAGTGTTTTCGGTGTATGGTGCTCCCGCTGCAGCGTTGGCCTCATGTTCGGATCGGCGCTTTGCCATCGCCGTTCAGAATGGCGCTCTCGCCCCAGCGCAAGCCGCTTTTCCAGATCCGAGTCCTTCTTCATCGTTGTCGCCCTGCTTCTGTCCCCTCCCGCGCCTTCCCCTGGTTATCCTGCTCCTCCCGCTCCTCCTGCTCCTGCTCCTGCTCCGGATGCTGCTCCTCCTCGCCCTCCTCCTTGACAGCATGACAGCGTCCCGCAGGGGAGTCAATGACCTACCCTGCAGCCTGACAACACAACTTAACGTCCCCGTACGCCCAGCAACTTAGGAGGGTTAACAACGCTGCTTTGACATCATCCTGCTCCTCCGCCAACTGTTTCTCCTGCAATGCACGTAGCTCCCATCTTTTGATGGTGCATAACACTCTGGGCTCTGGGTTCTGGGCCCGTTCTGCGAGTTCTGGGTCTGTTACGACATATGAAACCCGTCGGCGGATTGAAAACAATTCAGCGCACTGGGAAGGCATGGGTGGGAAGGGTAAGACGTCAGAAATGGCGCGAGCGCACACGGCTTCTCCTTCTCCTCCTCTCCACTGGGTCCTCCATTGGGGAGGCTCTGGCAGCGATCAGTGGCGCATCTGGGGCCCGCTCCCACAACGCGCTGGGCGCTCCGGACCTCCATGAATGGCCGGATCATGGCCTGCGTTGTGGTGGCGCCGCCATACGAGGAGGACGACGACCAAAACGATGACGACGACGACGACGACGACGACGACGACGACGACGACGACGACGACGACGACGACGACGACGACGACGACGACGACTACGACGACAGCAGCGACGACGATTACTGACACCATGAGGAGGTCCCACGACAACGACCACGCGGCGACAGCAACGGTGGCGGCAACGACTACGAGGACGACCGCGATGGGTCAAAGGGAGAATGTGGGGAAGAGGAGCTGGGGGTAAGGGGGGGGGGGCGAGTAGAAGAATGAGTGGGCGATTGGGGAAGGGATGGGGCAGTGTCACCCTTCTCCTCCCCTCCTCCTCCTCCTCCTCCTCCTCCCCCTCCTCCTCGTCCTCGTCCTCGTCCTCCTCCTCCTCCTCCTCCTCCTCCTCCTCCTCTTCCTCCTCCCCCTCCTCCTCGTCCTCGTCCTCTGCCTCCTCCTCCTCCTCCTCCTCTTCCTCTTCCTCCTCCTCCTCCTCCGCCTCCTCCTACCTCCTCCTCGTCCTCTTCTTCCTCCTCATCCTCCTCCTCCTCCTCCTCCTCCTCCTCCTCTCCTCCTCCTCTCTCGTCCTCCTCCTCATCGTCTCCTTCTTCCTCCTCCTCTCATCTTCCTTCCTCATACTCTATCTCCTCCCTCCTCCTCCCCTTTCCCTCCTCCTCCTCCTCCTCCTCCTCCTCCTCCTTCTTACTTTCTCCCCCTCCTCTTTGTCCTCCTCCTCCCCCTTTTCTCGCAGAAGGCGTCGCCGAGCTCCCTCCCCCGCGCCGCCGCCCAACCCCTGGCGCGCGCTGGACGCTCGCCTGGAGCTCGCGCAGCTTGAGGGGCATCGGGTAGGTGAACTTGCCCACCCCCGTCGTCGCTCGCAGGGGGCTACCCGTAAGGCAAGATCGGCCTCTTTGAAGGCCTCCCAGATGGTGTCAGAGTAGGTCGATTCGGAGGATCGCGCCGCATCGCCGATGCATCGGCGACGTCGGCGTGGAGAAACTCGGGATGCACATCGAGCCGCCCCGCCGATTCTCCGGCGATGCGGCGCGAACCTCCGACCCCTTCTACTCGGACCCCATCTGGGAGGCCAGGACTCTGGTGCGCGGCGCTCAGCCCAAACATGCTCGCTCGCGTCGTGATCACATCGCAGCGGAAACTTTCTGTACGTTTTGGGCCTCCAGGCCTCGCTGGGGCCCAGGACACTCAAACGACGACTTGGGATGAAGAACCGACCCTGGGCTTAGGTCGGGCATGTCCCCCTACAGGCCGATTTTCGAGGAAAAATCAAAAGCAGTGAACACAACATGCAAAAATGACCGACAAATAATCAAAACACCGTCCCCGGAGTAAGTTTTTTGGGGGCTATTTTTGCATAGTCCTCCTGTAGAGGGACATGCCCGACTTAACCCTAGACCGGGGGAAAGGGTCGGGACTTCTGGGGTCCCCGCATTCAAAAAATCAAGGCAGCATATGTCTGGGAATGGGGCTCACCCCCCTGAGGCAAGAGTGGCCTCTGGTGCGCGGCTTTCGCGGGGGCGCGCCGGGGGGGGTGGCCCCACCCCCAGCGCGCAAACGGCTGCCAATGCACGTCGCACTCGGCGATCTGGTGGCCCTGGTGGGCCCCAAGGCAAGGGCTACCTCTGGCGAAGGGTCCCCCCTGGGCGTGGCTGGTCGAGGGGCGCTATCGTCGATAGCTTCACCAAAATCAGTTCTGAGACCACACCCATTTCCATCTTGCCCTTCCTGCTTCCTGAATACATTCGATGCCAATCTACTGGAGGAAGACGTAGGGGATGCCCGTCTTTCTAGCTGGGTCCTTCCTCCCAGCTGCAGCTGGACTGTGCTCTCCCGAGCTGGACCCAGAAAGCTCAACTTCCCTGGCTGGCTGCGGAGGTGTCGGTACGATCACAAGGCGCACCCTCACAGTTTCTCTGGACGGGTCCACTGATGTCTTTCTCTCCCCCTCGCTGCAATATCCTCGCTGCTAATTTTCTCTTTCGCCTCCTCTTCCTTCTCTTTATCCTCTTGCCCCTTCCTCTGATCAGATTTGGCTGTTGAAGTCACATTCGCAATGCTAGTGTTGTTATGCTTCTTGGTTGCGTACCTAAACGAGGTGACACACAGTAAGGGTGGATCATGCACAATACGAAGCTGGCACGTAATCGAAATCAGAGCAGGTGCCCTGTTCTCCTCATTATTCATCCTCTCGTCCTGCTCTCCCTCGTGAGTCCCTCCTCCTCCTCCTTCTCAAATCCCCCCCTTCCACATTCTCGTCTTGCTCTTTATCCTCTCCTCCTCATACTCGTCCTCGCCGTCTACGCTGTGCTCGTCTCGATCCTCCTCACCTTCTTCATCCCCGTCACCCTTGCAATCGTCGTTGTCGTCGTCGTCGGTGGCCACGACTGCCCGGAGACACTGCCCCCCCCGAGTGGGCCGGGTCGTGCTTCTGCCAAAAGGCCACGTGAGGCCGACTCTTCCTGTCGCCCCCCCCCCCCCCACGCAGGGCTCGCCCGCTGGTGTCAGGGACGACGCCGTGCTCGTGCTGGCTTCCTTCGGCACCGGGTGCTTCTCAGATATCCAAGTGTTCCAAAATGTCGGACGTGTTAGACCTAGGCCAGCACGGGGAACGGAAAGAGCGCTTCAGAAACTTGCCCGAGATGGCTCATGGCACCGCTCGCTATTGGGAGCCTTGGTGTTAAGAGTTGTTTGCATCACCGCTCGCTGTTGGGAGCCTTGGTGTGAAGGGCGTTGTATGTTTCCGCTCGCTCTTGGGAGCCTTGGTATTAGGAGCTTGTTACGTCACTGTGAGCTCTTGGGAGCCTTGGTGTTCAGAGCTTTTTACGTCACCGTTCGCTCGTCGGAGCCTTGGTGTTCAGAGCGTGTCACGTCAGTATGGGCTCTTGGGAGCATTGGAGTTCAACCCATTTTACGTCATCAGTCGCTCTTGTGAGCCCTCGGTTTAAGACTTGATTACGTCACCGCTCGCTCTGGGGAGCCCTGGTGCTACGAGCTTGTCACTTCACTGTGAGCTCTTGGAAGTCTGTGATTTGGCGTCTATGGGCCTTCTTTGGAGTCCTGTCGGGGCCCTGTTGGACCCTCTTGAGGCCCTCTTGGACTGTCCTGGAGCCTTTTTGGGGTCGTCTTGGGGCGTCTTGAGGGCTCTGGCCGTCTTGGGGCCCTCTAGGGCCGTCTGGGGGCCTTGGGGCGCCTTGGGGCCCTCTTGGGGGCCTCTTGGGCCATCTTGGGACGATCTTGGGACGCTCTTGGGGTCTTCTTTTGTCGTCCTGGGCCGTCGGCAGCGCGAAAAGGCGACAGTCTCCAAAAACTGCAAGCATCAACAGAACATCAATGTTTTTGGCCTCCTCAGGCCCTCTCAGGGGTCCTCTTATGTCTCTAGTCTCTAGGACCATCTTGGGGCCCTCTGGGACCGTCGTAAGGCCATCTTGGGGCATCTGGGAAGGCTCTTGGGCAGTGTTAGCTCTCTTGGAGCGCTCTTGGGCCGTCTTGGAGCCATCTTGCACCTCGCTTGGGGGGACCTCGGGGGTATCTAAGGCCGTCGTGGACAATTCTGAGGCCGTCTTGGGGCCCGGCGCGCGCGAGTTATGCCGTGGTGTGCCCCCTACGCCCCTCCCCTGGGCCCCTCCCTAGAGGACCTCGCCCCAACTCAGCGTCGTCACTCGTGCCTCGCTCTTTTTCCGATGCAGGGTCAGAACACCGAAGAGCGAGGCCCCCCCCCAGGGGTGAGGGGTAAGGATCGGGGGGGATAGGCATAAGGGGGGGGGAACATCGACCTGGAGTCGGCGGTACGTCGCCGATGGATCAGCGATAGGCATCCGAAAGCGAATTCGCACCTTCCAGGGCAGGTTGGGGCCGTCGGGCGCCTATCGGCGATCAATGGGCGATTGGGGGTTGACGCATCCCCCCCGTGCCTTGGCCGGGGGGGGGGGGCGAGGGAGGAGGGAGGGAGGGAGGAGGGAGGGAGGAAGGGAGGAGGGAGGAGGGCGGAGGGAGGGAGGAGGGGAGAGGGAAGAGGGAGGAGGGATGAGGGAGGAGGGAGGAGGGAGGAGTTATGCCAATCCCCCCTACCGTTGCCCCCCCCACAGGGGACGCCTCCTCCAGGTCGAAGGCCTCGACATCGCCGCCCGTCTCCTGGCGGAACTGGCCGACGCGGTGCAGGACCTGCGCGCGCCGCGCGCGCGGTGGGAGGGCTCCGATGGGGCCCCTGCGGGGAGCTCGGGCGGTGCGGGGGCGGAGGTGCTCCGCGCTGGACGCCGCGGCGGAGGGGCTCCTCCCTCCAACTCCCTCCTCCTCCTCCTCCTCCTCCTCCTCCTCCTCCTCCTCCTTCTCCTTCTGTTTCTGCTTCTCTTCCCTCCTTCTCCTCCTCCTCCTCTTCCTCCTCCACCTCCTTCTCCTCCTCCTCCTCCTTTTCCTCCTTCTCCTTCTCCTCCTTCTCCTCCCTCCTCCTCCTCCTCCTCTTCCTCTTCCTCTTCCCTCTCCTTCTCCTCTTCTTCCTCCTCCTGACTCTCCTTCTCCTCTCCTGCTTCTCTCTCCTCCTGCTTCTCTCTCCTCCTTCTCCTTCTCCTCCTCCTCCTCCCCCTTCTGTTTCCTGCTCCTCCCTTCTCCTCCTCCCCTTTTCCCTCCTCTTCCTCCTCCTGCTTCTCCTTCTCCTCCTCCTTATTCTTCTCCTCCTCCTCCTCTCTCTTCCTCCTCCTCCTTCCTTCTCCTCCTCTTTCTCCTCCCTCCTCCTCCTCCTTCTTCTCCTCCTCCTGTTTCTCCTTCTCCTCCTCCTCCTCCTCCTCCTCCCCCTCCCCCTCCTCCTTCTCCTCCCTCTTCCTCCTCCTCCTCCTCCCGCTCCTCCTGCTCCTGCTCCTCCTCCTCCTCCTCCTCCTCCTCCTCCTCCTCCTCCTCCTCCTCCCCCCGCCCTGTTGGGGGGGGGGGCTGCGGGAAACGATGCCGGAGATCCTGCGCGCCTGCACTATGACGGCTTTCCGGCCACCCTCGGCGGGCCGTCGGCCCTCGCCCGGCAGCTCTGTCTCGGCGTGTTCTGCCCCTCGGGGCTCCGGCGGCCCCCTGGGCCGTCAAGAAGCTGCTCAGGACGAAAATCGTCGTCGTTGTCGTTCGTCGGAACTTCGTCGTCGTAGTTTCGCATCGTCTGGCTGCGGTTCGGCGGCGAGCGAGGGGGGGAAGCGAGAAGGAGACGGCCTTCCCAGAAGACGGCGAGACTTCTCAGGAGCCCTCGCGCCTTCTGAGAAGTCTTCTGTGCCTTCGGGGAAGGCGCAGAACACTTCTCAGAAGGCAAGGGGGACTCCCGAGCCTTCTGGGAAGGCCTCCTCCTGCTCACTTCCCCCCCGGGGCACGCCCCTTCAAGGTGGTCCCGTGGAAAGCTATTTGGGTCCGGGAGCCGCTTCCCCCAGGACTCCTTGCCCTCGTGCCAGGCAGAGAGGGCAGGAGCGCTGCCTCTCGAGGTCGGCGGGGGTCCCTGGCCCCTCCCATCGAGTCCGCCCGAGATGCTTGCCCTTTGGGACTCCCCTTCGGAAGCGCCTCCCCCTCAGAAAATACTCCAAGCCTCTCCCCACGGCTAAACTTGGTTTATCCGTTGATTCTTTCGTTGATTCATTTGTTCGGCCGTTCGATCACGCATCCGTACGCAACGCTGCAGCAGACCACCAGCAGGCCAATGAAGGGCGGTGGGTGCACCAATGGAACTGCGGAATTCCTCGCGCGCGCGTCTCTGGAGACCCAAAGCCGCGAAACAACTCCGCCTGGCTTTTTGCCACGCCGTTGGCAACCGCTTAAAGGGCTCAGGCTCAGGTCGGGCATGTCCCCCCCCACAGACGGACTCTGGACGGAAGATCGACCATAGCCAGCAGAGACTCAGAACTGGTCCAGCCATCGTCGAAGCATCGTCCCCCGACTATCTCTTGAAACTATGTTTGAGCCTTCCCCCTATTTTCACTATTTTTTGAAACTATTTTTGAGTCTTCCCCCTGCAGAGGGACACGCCCGACTATGTTTTGAAACTATTTTTGAGTCTTCCCCCTATTTTCACTATTTTTTGAAACTATGTTTGAGTCTTCCCCCTATTTTCGAACTATCGGTCCCCCGACTATCTTTTGATACTATTTTTGAGCCTTCCCCCTGCAGAGGGACGCGCCCGACTTTCACCCCTCGGGCTCGAGCGCGCAGCCTGGGCGGCTGCGCCGCGGGGCGCAGCCTGGGCGGGGCAGGTCAGCGGAGGGGCGGCCTCCGCGATCCAGTGCGGGTGCGCCACCCAGGCCTCCTCCTCCTCCTCCTCCTCCTCCTCCTCCTTATCTCCGCCTCCTCCTCCTTCTCCTCCTCCAACTCCTTATCTCCGCCCCCTCCTCCTCCTCCTCCTCTCCTCCTCCGCCTCCTCCTCCTCCTCCTCCCTTCTCCTCCTCCTCCTCCTCCTCCTCCAACTCCTTATCTCCGCCTCCTCCTCCTCCTCCTCCTCCTCCACCTCCTCTCCTCCGCCTCCTCCTCCTTCTCCTCCTCCAACTCCTTATCTCCGCCTCCTCCTCCTCCTCCTCCTCCTCCGCCTCCTCCTCCTCCTCCTCCTCCTCCTCCTCCTCCTCCTCCTCCTCCTGCTCCCCCTCCTGGTCGTCGTCGACGTCTGTCGGCCTCCACGATCCAATGCGGGTGCGCCACCCAGGCCACCCACTCCGTGATCACCTCGACCATCTCTGTGATGAGCTCGTCGAACGGCGCGGGGTCCTCCACCCAGGCATGCGGCGCGGACTGCAGGTGTTCCAATCATGTTTTTTTGTTGTTTTGCTGACTTCGGCTGGTGGGGAAATGCTCGGGCCCCGCGCCCACCAACCACTGGTCCCGCACGAAGAGCTGCCCCCGTGGAGTGGGCCGAGACACCTGGAGCCAACTGACTGAAGACATCGCATCGTTGGAGCTCTGGGCACGGCATCCCCGCCTCCCTCCACCCCGTGCCTGCTGGTCCCCTGCCGGCCCCGCAGTTCCCTGCATGGCCAGCCCCAGCAGCCCTGAACTTCAACCCGTTGACGCGCGTCGCTCTCACTCCTGCCGCCCTCCGCCGAGCTTTCCGTCGGCGGAGAGCAGCCGCCGATCTGTTTCCGCCGCCCTCCGCCTCGAGGCGGGGCTGCGCCGAGGGTGCGGCCCTCTCCAGAGCGCGCCATGTGCTCTCCTCGCTCTCGTCCTCGCCTTCGACGTCGCCGTGCCTCCTCCCCTAGGCACGTTCTGCTCTGGGTCTCGCTCACGCGTCGTCTCTTCTCTCGGGGCCGGCCAGCGGGCGGGCGCACCAGCCCGCACCATGACCCGAACGGGCGACCTCTCGATGCGAGAGCGGGGCAGGACCCAAAGCAGGCAACAAGCCCACATTAGATTCTGGAGGTTCGCAGGGGTCTCCTGGCGCCGCGCGACGCCCACGGGCCGTCCTGAGTGTCCCAGGGCCTCCCCTGCCCAGCCAGTCAAGGAAGTGCTACCATCAAGAGCGCTGGCTAAGAACGAAGCACGGGCCTGGGTGCACGAAGAGCGCTAGCGCTGAGGAGGAACAAGTGCGAAAGAACCAGAGGAATAGCGAGCCATTCCGAACCCGAAGCGTTCCTTATCTCAACGTCTGGGCTGTGAGTTTTGCTTGCGAAGCTCGAGGATAAAGCATCCTGGACGTTTTCTGCCCGTTTGCTGGGCCTTTCGTCTGGGGTGCATGCCCTGAGGTCGGCGCTGCAGCTCGCCACCCTGGCCTATCTCCTCCGACAACCCTGTGCCAGCCTCCGAGGACCCGAAGCCTTCTCCCTCCCCCTCTGCTCCTTCTGCTGCTGCTTCTCCTCATTCGTTCTCCTCAGCCACCGCCTCCTCTTCCTCCTGATCATCCTCCTGTCATCCGCCACCACCTCCTCCTACTCCTCTTCCTCCCCCACTGCACGCAGATTTCCTTTGGGGGTCCAGGTCCGCTAGGGCACTGTCGATGGACCAGGGACAAACATTATTACATCAGCGCAATGAAAAACGGATGGGCGGCAAGGGCAAAATGTCCGATATGGCGCGGGCGCGCCTATGTTGACTCCCCCCCCTCTCTCCGGTCCCGTCCGCCTTCCCCAGTGGCGAAGCGGGGATTTGTCTGTAACCAACGACCGCGGGATCGTTCTCCTGGGACATCGGCAGGCTGTGGACATGAATACGCTTGCCCCCCCCCTCTCCAGGGCCCCAGATATCTACACATACGCACACACATATAGACGTTTGTATATGTGCATCATAAATGTTAGCCAACGTGGTTCCAAACGGCGATCTCCTACAATCCACGCAGTGCAATCTAGGTGGTGCAATCAACGTGGTGCAATCTAGGTGGTGCAGTCCATGTGGTGCAATCTGTGTGGGACATAACAATGCCCATGCAACACAAAGCAGCGCAATTCAAAGCAATGCAAAACACTGCGAAGCAATGTGAACACATGCGAAACAAAGCAAGGCACAGCAACGCACATCACCGTACAGCAAAGCAAACCAATATAAAGCAATGTGACGCAGAGCATAGCAATGCAACACACAAAGCAACTGATAAACAATGGATATCCGAGCAAAGCAATGCTGAGCAATGCGATCGATGTAACACGGCGCGGCACAATGGCAAATAATGCAAAACAGTGCGTCCGATGCCGCCCGTTGCCGCAGCATTTCGGTCACGATTTTGATTGTGCGACTCTCGCAACTGCAAATGTGCGCTGGTCTGGCCGGTTTGTGGCCGTCCGCCGCCGCACAATTTTGGCCATGGCTTGGATTGTATGAGGATCGCCCTTGGCACGGTTTTGCATTGCTTTGCGTTGCTATCAATCTCCGCACAGCTTCTCACGCACATCCCTCCCACCACCCAGGCAAGAACCTTTTTGTCTCCAGATGCTGGGTGGTTGCGCGCTCAGTCTCGCATGCTTGAGGCCGCGGCGGCGGGTGGCGAGAGGGCAGCCGTCGCCGCCACACTCGCACCCCCCCCCTTAACACCCTGTCCCAGAGGCCCCTAGGGCAGCCGTCGCCGCCGCAAGAAACCTGCTGGGAGGGTGGGTGGGCGCAAATCTGTGAGTAAGCATTTGGCCTCGAGCCAACATGGCCACGTAGGCGGAAAGGGAAAATTGAAGCAGACTGCGTCTCTGGGTTGGCTCAAGGGCTGGGGCTCAAGCAAAGCACTGTACCCCCTTGAATTCCCGAGGCGCAGTGCCCCCTTGAATTCCCGAGGCACCGGCCCTCGTGCCCGAGGCCGGGGGCATTACAAATCTTTACCTCCACTGTGCCTAGCTCACCCTGGCGTACTATATACAATCTCGTATTGGAGTGCTCATGGCGAAACCCCCCCTTAAGCTTCCTTAGGGGGGGGGTTGGAAAACCACACTTTCATGGCCGAACTCGGTGGTTCTACTTTGTTGCGCCCACCCGCCGGCCCTCAAAGAAGCCTCGGCTCCGATTGATACTGCGCAAACTTCGCTATGCTTTCGCATCAATCTCCGCACAGCTTCTCACGCACATCCCTCCCACCACCCAAGCAAGAACCCTTTTGTCTCCAGATGCTGGGTGGTTGCGCGCTCAGTCTCGCGTGCTTGAGGCCGCGGCGGCGGGTGGCGAGAGGGCAGCCGTCGCCGCCACACTCGCACCTCCCCACCTGGCCTCAAGACGTGGAGCCTTCCGAACACGATGAGGGACTCGTAGCCGACGAGCTCGGTGCGGACGGACGCCTCCGGAAACAGCTTCGGCACCGAGCGTCCCCCGGAAAGGTCTCCAGGGAGGCGTGCTTCGTGAAGCACCAGTGGGCGAACCTGACGCCGCATTTGGTCCTCCACAGCTGCGGGGGGACGTCGAGCCCCTCCACTGCGACCTCGTGGACCCGGAACCTCCTCGAGCCTCCGCCGCTGACGTATGGCTTGGCGGAGCCGGCGTCGAGTTTGGCGAGCCGCTCCTGCAGGGCGGCCAGCGCGTCCGCGACGTCCTGCTTCTGGGCAGCCACCTGGTCGCCAACCTTGATCACGTCGTCCTGCGCCTTGGTGAGGGACTCGATGAGCGAGCGCTTCTCCTCGAGAGCGATCACCTCCGCTGGGAGATTCTCCAAGGGCGCCTCGCGGATATAGCGGAGAACGGTGTCGCCGGCCCACCGCGCATGCAGCATGATCTTGTGCACCTCCAACCCTGCGATGGCCAACCTCTGGGCTCCCGTGACTCTGAAAGAATGCCCTCCCAAAGCCTTCGCGCCACTCGGGTGGAACGGAGCGCCTCCGTATGCCGCAACGGTGGCCTCGAGCGCCGCCACGATGTTGGCCTTCAGGCAGACCCCGCCAGTGCGGCATGGGAAGAGCGGCAAGTCGTCATCGAAACTCGGGCCGAACATGTCCCGGAGCATGCCCAACTGCTCATCTGCCGCGCAATACGGGCACAATTCACGAGACAGCGGGCTCGCGCACGTGCAACCCCATGTTCTCGTGCAGCCGACGGCCCGCGGGTCCCTTTTGGAGACTGGGAGCCTGAGGCTGACCTTGCGCTCGGCCCTGTTGAGGGTCACGTGGCCGACCTTGGCAAACGCCGCCTCGATCTCCCGCATGACAAAAATGGAGGCGACGATGAGGAAGTTCACCCATCCCACGGGCGCGAGCGGCCCCAGGTGGACGCTGCCCTCGCGCACCGCCTTGACCGCTGCGTTGAGGTCGAAGGGCGCGGACTGTCTCGCAACGCCCAAGCCCCGGAGGACCGATGCCGTGGCCTTCCGCCGAGCAAGGTCCAGCTGCTCATCCCACGGCCAGCCGGCGAGGGTGTGGGCCTCCTTAGCCTTGGCCATGTACGCAGGGAACCCCCGGTAGCCCCCCTGCTTGAAGCAAGCGGCGACAGCGTAGACCGTCTCCGCGCTCAGCGGGAGGGCCGGCGTCGCTTCGCCAAACCAAGCCTGGTGGAACACCGACCAGGTTGCCCACGGCGAGTCGGCGGTGAGCTTGCTGCTGGCCGCTGAAGTGTCCTGCAGGAGCCTGGCGAGGACCTCCTCCTTCCCCTTGATCGTGGAGATGGCCGTGAGCACCTCTGCTCTGCAGGGGCGTTTTGTCGCCCTGACGTCTGGGAAATCCTTCCTGCTCTTACGAGGCACAAGCTCCGCGCCCGACGCGGCCGCAGAGCCGACCCTGCCGACGCCTGCGACGCAGCGCGGGCGGCCGAGCCAACGCCCGCCCCGCCTCCTGAAGCGGCCGCGCGGTCAGCCCTCGCCGACGCGCGCGACGCAGCCGGAAGCTGTGCAGGAGCGGCGCCCGAGGCGGCCGCGGGGCCAGCCATCGCCGACGCCGGCGACGCAGCATGGGCAGCCGAGCGGGCGCCAGCCCCGGCCCCCGTAGCGGCCACGCGGTCAGCCCTCGCCGACGCGCGCGACGCAGCTTGGAGATGGGCTGACCCCTCCTCCCTCCCCCCCGGGGCGACTGCAAGGCCGGCCATCGCCGACGCGTGCAACGCAGCCCCGGCGGGCGACGTTGCGCCTCCTGCCGAGGCATCCGCGCCTGCGCTCACCGATGCTCGCGACGTGCTCGCTTTCGGCCTCTGCGGTGCACGGGCGGTTTCCCCCGGTCGCTGGCCTTTGCCATTGGCCTTGCCCTTCAGTACGGCCGCCCTCCGCGCCGGCCCGAGGGCTGCGAAGTCCGCCCCCCCTTGCCGAAGGCGGCCGGCCCACGTGCACCTGCATGGGCCTCTGAGCGGCCGGTCAGTAGCGTTCGCGGCCATGCCCAAAAGAACGAGGGCGAGCGCTGCCGCGCACTGTCGCGCCTGGCCGACCTGAGCGAGCGCGGAATCGCCGCGCCCTGCGAAATCCGGCTCAGCGCGTCGCACTCGAAGTTCAGCGTGCCCGCAACGTGCTCCAGGCTGACGTGGACATTCGCGCTCTCGAACCGCAGCGCCAACTCCGCCGCGAGAGCATTCATGAGCGGCGTTCTCCCGGCCAGCCTGGCTGCGCTGAAGAGGGCCGCGGTGGCGTCCGTCTGGAGCAGCGCGAGCGCCTCGTCCTTGAGGCGCGGCAGCCAGCAATCCACGGCAACCAGGAGCGCGAGCAACTCCCACTCGGCCTGCCACGCTGGGTCCCCGCGGGTCGCGTGGAGCAGCTCGAGGTCCGCGTCCGCCCGCTCCTCGGCGATCCAGGCGCGCGGCGCCCCATCGACGAAGAAGATCGCGCCGAACCCGTACGGGGACGCGTCGGTGCGGATGCACGCCGACAGGTCGGCTAGGCGGGTTGTCGCATTTGTCCATCTTTGGACTGTGATCGCCTTGCCCTCGCGGTCCCGGATGAGCCCGGCAAACAGCAAGCGGATCCAGGTGATCGCCTGCTGGATTCGCAGCAAGAAGAAGAGCTGACCGGGCCGCTTCTTGGCCGAGAATCTCAAGGCCTGCGCGTTCTGCTCCTGGTCGTGCGCCGCCAACGCCGCCCACAGGCAGGCGTTGAACCCGCGAAGCCAAGGAAGTAGACCGCTGGCCCACGAGAGCTGGCCGGCGATCTTGCGAACCTCCTTGACGTGGACAACGCCCGTCGAGCGGTGGATCGCGTCGACGGCCTCGACGATCTCCCGGCACTTTTTCGGAGCCAGCGTGACCTGGATGCCCCGCGCGTGCCGGCGGCACTTCCGACACCGCCGGCGCTGGAGCTCCAGTTGTGCCCCGATCCAGGGCACGGTCTGCCCGCGAATGGCCTTCTTCCAGTTGAGCCTGAAACCAAGCGCGGCCCAGAACAGGAGGAGCGCACCCAAGAGCCGCTTCCGCTGGTGCGGGGGGCCGCGAGTGCAGATCGCGGGGTCGTCCACAAAGCGCTGGATTCTGAGCTCGTGCGGTTGGAACATCGCCTGGCCCAGCCTGCACGCAGCGGCGCCGACTCTGCCCCAAACCAAGGGGGCCGAAGCCATCCCGCAGCACAGGCGGCGGAAGACTGCCCAGCCAGCCGCCGTCTTGAAGACCATCTTCCCCCGGTCGGCTGCTCGGAGCGATAGGGTGTGGAAGGCGTCCTCGAAGTCCACCGTGCACAGCTCGTACCAATCCTCGTCCGGGTGCCAGTCGGCCCTGACGTCGATCTCCATGAGGTCGAGAACCGCGGCCGTGAGGTCCGACAAGCGGGGTAGGACTACGCGCTCTGGGAGGGCGACTCCCCCGTTGACCCCCGAGCGCAGTAGGTCGATGATGATGCGGGCTTTCGTCGAACCGTCCTCCCGCGTCTTGACGAGGAGCGCAACTTTGCTCGCCGTCGCATCGGGCCATCTGCTGCGTACCTCGTCCCAGTCGCGGATGATCTCGATGTAGCCGCGCTGCTCGATGCGCTGGACCTCCTGCTCCGCCAGAGCGCCGCCGTCGGTGTAGAAGCTGGCGTAGTTCTTGTGGAGGTCGTGCCTCCACTCCTGCGCGGCCCGGAGGGCAGCGAACTGTCTGGCCTTCTCTATGGCTGCGCTGGCATGGTCCACCGGCGGGAAGATGCCGCACGTGCGAACCTCCGACTCCCCAATGCCGGTCGGGCAACCGTGCCGGAGCCAGCCCGGAACTTCTGTCTCTGGATCTCCCGCCGCGTCCAAAAGTGACTTCCATAGCTGGTGGTCGAAAACGGTGCCGGGGTCCGAACGCGAAGCCCCGAACTCCTTCCGGAGCGCCTCCTGGGTGAACTCCACGGCCTCTTGGCTGAAGCCATTGCACTGGTCCGTGCCCATGTGGTCGATGACCGAAACGACACTCTCCTTGAACGATGAGCGGTCGAGCACCTCGTCGAGGACCTTCCGGACCCGGGCGCCCGTCCGCCTGAGCCCGACAGATCTGGCGACTGCCCGGTTGGGGTTTCGGAGCCCACCAAGGGCCGCATTGTTTGCAGCCTCCCTGGCAGCCCTCGGTTCTGGAAGCGCCACGCCATCCGGAGGGCGTCGGGCAGCCCCGGTCTGCCCCGCGCGTAGGGCAGCGCTGTCGGTGACGACCTGGCTCCTCTCGCACCCAGCTTCGGCGACCTCGAAGTCCCTGACCTCGCAGTTCTCCTCCTCGTGCTCCTCCTCCTCCTCGTCCTTGACCCCCAGGTTCCCCTGCCCCTTGGCCTCGTGGATCCCCTGGCCCCAGGGGCTGGCTAATCAAGTCGTTTTCTTGATGGTGCAGCTGCCGTTGGAATGCGGCTGGAGGCACCATTGGTAGACATGAGCCCGCCTGGACGGGCATGGCGCCGTGCACCCGCCTTTGTCGGGGCCGTTCGCGTACTTGAAGCAGATCTCCTGCCCCTCCCGCGTCGTAATGAACCGGCCCTGCTTGTCCTTCCTGGGGTGTGTCTCGCCCTTGCGGCTGCCCTTCGCTGGATTGCTCTCGCTCCCAACCTCCACCAGCTTCTGCTTCCTCTCCCGGCGCTTCTGGGAGACCGTCTTCTTCGCCGGGGGCTCCTGCGACGCTGCTGAAGTAGCGTCGTCGCCGTCCGTCTGGGGGCGCTTGTTCCTGGCGAGAAACCCCAGCGCCGGCCGCCGCACTTCGCGGTCCCAGTAGCGGTCGTCCAAGGCAGCCTCCTGGAAGACCTCGCTCCAAGTAGGCTTGCGCCGGTGTTTGTCCCGGAGCTTGCGCGCTACCCTGGCGAAGTGCTCCGCCCGGCAGCGGTCCTCGGCGCGCTGGCAAAGGTGCCAACACTCCGGGTGCTCCTTGCACAGCTGCTTGAAGGCCTCCCGGTAAGCGTCGATCGCGATTGGCGTAACCACGACCTCCGGGCGGCCGTCGCCCTCCGCAGCCGGCGGAAAGCGGAGCATGAGGAGGATGACCTCGTAGACGTCGAAGCACTTCTCCCAGACCTCGAAGCTCGCGGGCCCTGGTACCTCCATGGCTTTGTAGGAGCCGTCCTCCTGGAGGAACCAGCTCCGGTGGCGGAGGATCTTGGCCATGCGGCGGCCGTAAGGCGTGAGCAGCGAGAAGTCCGCGTACGGCTCCGCCTTCAGCTCCACAACGCGGGTGTGGAGCGCTGCGATCTGGTCCGGGGTCGGCTCGTGGTGCTCGAGCGGCTCCCCGTGCTTGATCTCGGCGTAGTTCTCGAACCATCGTGTCACCTGGTCCGTGTCGGGCGCGTTGATCTCCGTGTCGTCCGTGCTGTCGATGAGGTGCGCGAGCTTCAGCTTCTTCTTCGCATTGGTGGTCGCCGCCCCCTCGGCCGGCCTGGCCTCCGAAGAGACCTTGGCCGTGCACAGCGCCACCGCTACCTTGTAGAGGAGGCGCGCGCCAGCCTTGGAGAGGAATGAGGCGCCCATCCACTCCTTGAGCGCCTCCTCGAATGCCTCCGGCGGGGACGCCGCCAGCAGGCGCGGCGGCGCCTGCTTGAAGTCCTGCACAGAGCTGAACCCCAAGACCTCGGACAACTGCGCCAAGGGCTCCTCCGCGAGGCCGGCCCAGGTGGCGATGGGCCCCACTGCCGTGGCCAGCCCAAGCGTGTTGATCTCCTCCTGACTCGGGAGTGCCGTCTCTGCCAAGGACGCCGCCATGGCTGCCGCAACCCAACCTGATACAGGGGATCGCAGGACGGCACAGTCGAGGAAGAGAAGTCGCAAATCTGTGAGTAAGCATTTGGCCTCGAGACAACATGGCCACGTAGGCGGAAAGGGAAAATTGAAGCAGACTGCGTCTCTGGGTTGGCTCAAGGGCTGGGGCTCAAGCAAAGCACTGTGCCCCCTTGAATTCCCGAGGCGCAGTACCCCCTTGAATTCCCGAGGCACCGGCCCTCGTGCCCGAGGCCGGGGGCATTACAAATCTTTACCTCCACTGTGCCTAGCTCACCCTGGCGTACTATATACAATCTCGTATTGGAGTGCTCATGGCGAAACCCCCCCTTAAGCTTCCTTAGGGGGGGGGTTGGAAAACCACACTTTCATGGCCGAACTCGGTGGTTCTACTTTGTTGCGCCCACCCGCCGGCCCTCAAAGAAGCCTCGGCTCCGATTGATACTGCGCAAACTTCGTTATGCTTTCGCTTGTATAGCTTGGCATTGCTTTGCCATGCTTTGCAATGACTCGTACTGCTTAACCATGCGTCGCATTGCTTCACATATTTTTGGATCGCTTTGCATCGTATTGCGCTGCTTCGCACTGTTTCGAAATGTTTCAAAATTTGTTCGCGTTGCTTTGCCTTGCTTCGCATTGTTTGCGCTGGTTTGGATTAGTTTGCTTGGTATTGCTTCGCGTTGCATCGAGTTGCATTGCCTTCCGTTGCCCCGCATGTGTTTGCATCGCATTACGATGTTTGCATTGCAACGCAATGTTTTCGATTGCGTCGCGTTGCGTCGTATTGCGTTGTTTTGCGCTGCTGCGCATTGCCTGGCATTCCCTTGCAATGTTTTGCATTGCTTATCGTTCACTTGCGTTGCTTCGCATTGTTTAGCGTTTGTTTGCATAACAAGTCGTTGCCTTGCATTGCTGTGCGTTACGTTGCATGTCACCGCATTGTTTTGCGCTGACTTGTTTTACACTGCTGCGCATTGCTCACCATTGCTGTGCTTTGCATTGCATCGGCCCGCGTTGCATTGCTTAACGCTGGTTTGCATGACTTTGGTTTGCTTTGCATTGTTTGAGTTGCTTCACATTTGCTTGCGTCGCATTTCATTGCTTCGTATTGCTCTGTGCTGCTTTGCATGGCGGCCGGCAACCAACCAGGAACACTGAGGAGCCCATGATCACCGCCCCCAAACCGCCCTGGCCAAAGCAAGGAATACCAACACACACACACACACTTTGCCGCCAAATTCGGAGCATGCGCAACCAACCCGGCGCGGCCCCCACACAATCCCTGTCACAAACAATACAAATACACTTTGGGGCGAAGTCCGGGGTCATGTCCGTGAGGCCCGCGAGCACTTTGTATTGTTCTTGACAGGGACGGCGGGGGTGTCAGCATATTGCCTGCTGTGCGCAGGGCTACCATCCTTGACAATTAGCCTGGCGAAGAACCCAACCATATGCAGTTGTGACTACCGCAAGTTTGAATACCATCTTCGCCCGCGCTCCCTATGTGACCACGGCTTCCCGCTGGAGCCAGACATGCTCAGGGACACGTTCGTGCCCGTCTTCGCGGGCGCCGACGACGACGAGGACGGCGTCCCTCTGACAAAGGAACAGAAGCAGGAGAGGGCTCTGAGAGCCATGCGGGATGAGGTGGCGTTACACGTCGACAAGGCGGAGTACGACCCCCAGGCGCGGTTATTGAAGCAACACAGCTATGTGGCCACGATCCTCGTGAGGCCGCCATGCGAACCTTCCCACTGGCGCCTTCGGTGGAGCTCCTATGGGGCCACGATCCTCGTGATGGGTGTGCCCAAATGGCCCGAGGCCGCCATGCGAACCCTGCCACTAGCGCCTTCGGTGGAGCTCCGATGGAGCCACGATTCTCGTGAGGGGTGGGTGTGCCCAAATGGCCCGAGGCCGCCATGCGAACCCTGCCACTGGCGCCTTCGGTGGAGCTCCATATGGGGCCACGATCCTCGTGAGGGGTGTGCCGAATTTGCCTGAGGCCGCCAAACGAACCCTTCCACTGGCGCCTTCCTTGGAGCTCCCTATGGGGCCACGATCCTCGTGAGGTGTGCGTGTGTGTGTGTGTGTGTGTGTGTGCGTGTGTGTGTGTGTGTGTGCCCAAGTGGCCCGAGGCCGCCATGCGAACCCTGCTACTGGCGCCTTCGGTGGAGCTCCTATGAGACCACGATCCTCGTGAGCGGTGTGCCCTAATGGCCCGAGGCCGCCATGCGAACCCTGCCACTAGCGCCTTCGGTGGAGCTCCCTATGCAGCTACTATCCTCGTGATGGGTGTGCCCAAATGGCCCGAGGCCGCCATGCGAACCCTGCCACTGGCGCCTTCGGTGGAGTTCCCTATGGGGTCACGAAGCGTGGTGCTCGGTGCGCCGAAACAGAAACATGCGGAGGGCACAGGAGGGGGAGGAGGAGGAAGGAGAGGAGAGGAACGCGGGGCGCTGTCTCTCCGAAACGAGGACCCAACACCACAGGATGGTTTGGTAAACTATTACAACGTACACCTGGCGGCTAAATCTGGATCATGCGCGGCCACCCCGCGATCACTGCCAAGTGGTTTTTGACAGGGGCGGCTGGGGTGGTGGCGGCCTGGTGTGCGCGGGCCCACCAGGCACAGTGATGGGCATTGGTTTTCGACAAGGGTGGTGGGGCCGACATGTTTCCCGATGTGTGCTGTCACGCGCGCAGGCGCACCTGACACACTCGGCACGTGCCCCGAACGTGGCGTACCTGGCGCGGCTGGAGTATGCGGCACACCTGGCGCACGCGGAGGCACGTGGCGCATCTGGCGCACCAGGCACGCGTGGCGCAACTCGCCCCAGCGTCGCACACATGGGCTCGGTGCTGGTTCCCAATAACAATCCATCGAAAGACGACCGCTGAACATGCTGAGGCTCGGGTTACTTATGTGTTTGGGAGGGCGGGTGCGAGTGAGCTAGACGGCTTGCTATCTAGGAGGGTGTCTTGACCCTTCTCCTTAACCCCTCCCTTGGACCTGCACGGGGCGCCCCGCGAGGTGTCAGAGGGTACTGTTTCGCCCAAGACGGCTCCAAGAGGGCCTCAGAGAGCCCACGATAACCTCCAAGATGGTTCAAAATAGTCAAAGATGCCTCAAGGTGGCTCCCCAAGAACGCTCCAAGGCGGCTCCAAGATGCCTCCGAGACTTCCCAGGAGGCCGCCAAGACGGCTTGTGTGTATGTATATATTCCTCTTCCTATATTTTTGCAAGCCCGGGCGGGGGGAAAACCCATCCCCCCCCCCCAAAACCGGACTCCCCGGATCTGGCGCTTTGGGACCCTCCGGACGGGCCTCGAAGCGGCCCCCCGGGCCTCGCAGGGCGTTTTGCCAAGCCTTCCCAGCACACCAAGGGCGGTCAGGGGGGTCATCGGAGACGTCCCAGAGACCCCCAAGACAGCACAAGAGCGCTCCAAGAGTGGCCGACGTGACCTCAAGATGGCCCAAAAGGCCTCCAGGACGGCCCCAAAGAGGCCTCCAAGAGCTCTCCCAAGAAGGCCCCAAGAGGCGCAAATCTTTGATTTTCTGTTGTTTTTTGCTGAATTTGGGGGTTCTCCTCTTTTCGGCTTCCCGACTCTCCAAGACGGCGGTCTTCTGGGCGTCCGAGGCCGCCTGGGAGGCTCCAACATCGCGCCACAACCATCCGAAAGAGCTCCCAGGCAGTCCAAGAGAGCCCCAAAACGGCACAACACGGGTCCAAGATGGCCCTCAGAGAGCCCCATGGCGGCCCAAAATGGCCCCAAGACACCCTCCGAAGCATTCCAAGTCGTGACCCGGTCGTTCAGGGAGACCGCGGTTGGAGGCAGGGTGGCCCGAGGAAGTCCCCAGAGGCCCCCAGAATACGCCCAGGAGGCCTCCAGAAGGCCTTAAGAAAACCTGAAACAACTTTTGTGAGGCCCCCAGAGGCTCTCCAAGGAGGAGCCTCCGCAAGAAAGAGCTGAGGAGGATGGGGAGAATGCGCAGGGTATGGCCAACATAAGGAAAAAATAAGCATGGAGGAAGGATAACGAATAACATAATTATAGCGGCGATGCCGGAAAAGGCAACAAGGAGTTATCTCTAAATTGTCGGCTTGACCTTCCTGCAATTCCGCACGCATACCAAACTTCAAGGACCAAGGTGCATGGCGCGAAGCGCCACTGCAGTCTTGTATATATTCCTCTTCCCATATTTTTACAAGCCCGGGCGGCCGCAAAACCCCGCACCCCCCCCACCCCCCAAACCGGACTCCTGGGATCCTGGGACTTTGGGACCCTCCGGACGCCCATTGAAGCGGTCCCGAGTGCCTCAAGAGCGCTCCAAGACAGGCACAAAGCGCTCCAAGACGCCAAAGATAGCCCCAAGACAGCCTCAGGAGCCCCCAAGACGCCCCAAGCGGCCCCAAAGAAGCCCCCCAAGACGGCCCCGGGAGGCCGAAATGGTCAATTTTCCAATGTGTTTTTCGATGTTTTCTGCTTTCTCGCCATTTTAGCTTTCCGACGCTCCAAGACAGAACTAGAGGCCCTCAAGAGCGCCCCAAGATGGCCCGGGGGGCCCCCAAAACGGCCCCAACACGGCCCCAAGACGGCTCTGGAGCGCCCCGAAACAGCCCAAGAGGCGCCCAAGAAGGCCCAAGAGGGCCCCGAGAAAGCTTCAAACGAGCCCCCACAGGGCGATCAAAAGTTCAAACATCTAACTTTCCGCCCCAAGTGGGCCCCAGGAGGCCCCAGGAGGGCCCCAAGAGGCCCCAAGAGGCTTCCAAAGGCCCCGAGGACTCCCAAAAAGAACCCACGAGGCCCCAAAATGGCTCTCCAAAAGGCAGCCAAAACGGCCCCCCAAGAGGCTTCAAAACTGCTGAATCGCCCCACTTGACCGCCACCTCCGGAACGGCTTCGCTGCGCTGCTCCGTTGTTTGCCAGACAGTGGCATCCCACGCAAAACACCAAAATGCTTGAAATCCCGGGTTCGCAACCAAATTCCCGGGAAATCGGCTGCGAACCCGGGATTCGGCACATTTCCCCGGAATTCGGTAGATGTCCTTAGCATTTCCAGGATCCGGTACGTTGCCTCTATGCCCTATCGCATCCCAGAATAATCGTTCCATGGAGGTTTCACGAGGGCCCTTCCAAGTCATTAAGGAAACATTGTTTTCCACACGTGTTCGCACACATGCATCCGTAGCCGTTGGCTTACATTGTTATGCTGTCGATCTGGCAGTCCTTGGAGCCGCAGCCCCCTGGTCTGTTTCCATATGTGATCGCAAGGCATCTCCGTTTGTCTCACCCCCATGCGCAAGTCGAGACAGCACGCCGCCCCAATGCGTGCCTTACCTTACCTTACCTCATGATATTCCTCCCTTCGCCGCGCCTCCCCAAATCGTCCTCCACTTCTTTCCCGCCCCTTCTGTCCGACGTTTTGTATTTCCGGAGCCTCCACGGCCGCTCTCATCGCCGCTGATCGGTCCGCTGGGACTTTCTCATGGAGTCCCAGTGGCGCGCGGACCAGCAGAGCGAGGGCGCGAGCAAGTAAGGTGCAGGTCCGGGAACTGGGCGCGAACCAACCGCGGTTCAAAGACCGTGGAGGGCCGCGCTAGACGCCAACGCGCGCAAGGGTTGAAGGACCAAGGTGCATGGCGCGAAGCGCCAATGCAGTCTTGTGTATATATATATATATATATACCACCGCCTGCCGAGGCCCCTGAAGATCGATCCTCCCTGGCAGTGGCTATGGATAAATCCCCACCTCGGACCGGTCCCGTCCGCCCCCCCCCCCCCGCCCCCGCTGTCCACGAAAGGGAACTTCTTCAGACGCTCGCTCAGCATCCGGAGGGGTAGGTCCCGCATGAGCAGCAGGTCCCTCTGGCTCCCCGGCGCTCCTCCCTCCTCCTCCCCGTCACTCCGCTTCCTTCTCCTTCCCTCTCCTATTCCTCCTGCCTTCTTCCACCGCCTCTAGCCCTTCACCCCCCCCTTACGCCTCCTCCTCCTCCTCCTCCTCCTCCTTCTCAATCTGGTCCTCCTTGTCCTCCTCCTCCTCTTCCTCCTCCTCCTTCTCCTCCTCTTTCTCCCACTCGTCATTCTGCCTCGCGGCAGTGGTGTGCGAGTCTCGATGCTGAGGACCAGAACAGGCCCAGGTGCAGTCAAGTAACCATAAGAACAATAGCGAGCGCGGGGATTGGGACAGGTGGGGGGGGGGGGGAAGAACAGAGAGCAGGACGAAATGCACGACGGCAAAAGTGGGGGCCTGAAATGGCCTCACCGAATACCACACGACAGCTCGTATGACGTATGGGTGAATCACCGGAGGAGCGGCATCGCCTCGGGGGCCTGGTGAGTTACCTCGATTATCGTGCGAGGTGCCTTCGCCGAAATGATAAACATGATGATCATACGATAGCACGGGATAGTTAGTACGACCATTGTACGACCAAGGAAGAGACTGCCCATAAACACATGTTGGAAGATATTCATGCCACGTCATACCTATCCCCCGCCCATGAACACATGTTGGAAGCTATTGATGCCACGTCATCATTCCGACCAGCGCTGCAGCCTAGGCTCAGCGGCGGCGACGAGAGCCCTCCATAAGGTGAGGGCCAAAAGCTCAGGTATCGCCCCAAGAAAACGCTCCACTCAGCCTTTCCGCGCAGCACAGAGGATGCGAACATTTCAAGAATACGCGTACCTATACGACCACCCTGCGGGTGATAAGGAGGTTGGGGGGGCAGCAATGGGCAAAAGTGGTGATTGTTGTTCTGACGATGCCTATGGTGCGCAGTCTAGTGAGTAGTGTGATTGTGATCGTGAGCATGATGTGATGTGGCGATGTTGACGAAGCGCATGTCGATTGCATGCCGATTTGCATTTCGATCTGCATCTCGATTTGCATGTCGACATATCGATGTGCATGTCGATTTGCTTTTCGATCTGCATCTCGATTTGCATGTCGACTTGCATTGGGAAGCTCGCCGCAGGCGCCGATTTTTTAAATACGCAACCCACGGCGCCTTACGAAATGCATTTGGATGTGCATGTCGACGTGCTTTTCGGTTTGCATGTCGGATTGCATGTAGACTTCCATTGGATAGCTCGCCGCAGCCACGGCGGGACACCAGCAGGACACTAGCGGGACACCGCGGGCCACCGTTTGACGGGAGCAGCATCATTGGGTCTGGCCGCGGCCCAGCCACAGGAGGATTTCGGGACACCAGCGGGACACCGGCGGGACACCGCGCGCCATCGGCCGCCGGAGGAGAATCATTTGGTCCGGCCGCGGCCCAGCCACAGGAGGATTTCGGGACACCAGCGGGACACCGGCGGGACACCGCGCGCCACCGGCCGCCGGAGGAGAATCATTTGGTCCGGCCGCGGCCCAGCCACAGGAGGTTTCCTCTCGCCCGCCCACGCAACTTCGCCTCGCCCGCACGCACGCACGGCACGCACGACACGAACCCGAAACCGAAATCGATTTCCCGGTAGGGGGGGTCTCCGTTTCACGTCGGACTCACTCCCCAACCTCCGATGATTGTGGCAAGGAAGCTGCTAAACGTATATGCTTCTGCGTCCCCAGCAAGGAAGGACACGCTGGGGCGCTGAGGTGACTTGTGATGAGCTGCGGTGGACTTTCCTGTTGGAAGGTGCACGCTGGTGGAGCCAGGATGCCATACTGAAACATACTGCTATCAGCGAGACTTTTGGCGCCCTGGCTTGTTTCAAGTCATGCGGCTCTGGAACTCTTAGCCCCAACATTCGTATGATTCCCGCGCTGTGGGTTGCTGTCTCTCCGGATCAGCGTACCAATCGGAATTCTAAGTCAATGCATGGAGAACTGGTCCCGCGTAACCCCCTTATTTTGCCCATCTACGCGTCCTCTGTTGCGCATGGCTTACTCTGCTGCGCATGCTCCCCCCGCTCTATGTTGCCCCTACGCGCGTCCTCTGCTGCGCATGGCTTCCTCTGTTGCGCATGGCTTCCTCTTCAATCCGCATGACATCCTTTCTATTTTGCCCCTACACGCGCCCTCTGCTGCGCATGGCTTCCTCTTTTGCGCCGCATGGCTTCCTCTGCTATCCGCATGGCTTCCTCTGTATCCGCATGGCTTCCTCTACTGTTCGCATGACTTCATCTGTATCTGCACGGCTTCCTTTGCTATTCCAGAGGCTTCCTGTGGCTAGTCCGATGGCGTCCCAACAGTCATCCGACAATCGTTAAAGTCAGAAGTAGAGTAGAGTAGAGAAGAGCATATGAGTACAATAGAGTACAATAGAGCATAATCGAGTCGAATCGGAGTAACATCGGAGTAGAGTAGGGTAGCGTAGAGTGGAGTCGGGTGAAGTAGAGCCGAGTAGGGTAGATGGGAGAGTACAGTCGAGTGGAGTAGAGCAGCCTAAAATTGAGTAGAGTATATTCGAGTGAAGTAGGAGTACATTAGAGTAGAAATAGAGTAGAGTATATGGGAGTAGAGTAGAATAGGAGTAGGTTAGGTCAGAGCGGAGTAGAGTAGGGCAGAGTGGAAGATCATAACATGGAGTAGGGTAAACGGCAGAGCAGAGTCGGGCATCAGAGAGCAGAGTGGAGCAGAGCACAAGAGAATATACCAGAATAGAGTAGAGTAGGTTTGGGCAATATGAGATAGAGTAGAGCAGAGCCGGGTAGATGGTAGATCCGGCCATCATGGAGTGGCATCGAGTCCACCTCAGTCCAGCCCAGTCTACTCCCGTCCCGTCCTCTTCAGTCCACCCAGTTTCGGTCTTCTGGTCTGCTCGGAGCCTGCGCTAGCCGACATCTGTGTGGCCCTTGAGCGCCGGGGGAGGAGGGGGGCACGAGAAGCCTCTGGAGGCGCCCAGGTCAGGCCATCTGGCCGTGCGCTGCAAGTCCGGGAAGCCTCCCTCGAAGGAGCTGCCGGAGGAGGCCAGGCCGATGTCAACGGTCAACCGCAATCGGGCTGGCTTGGGACGACCAGGCCACGCAACCACGACCTTGCAGAAACGTGCAGAGCACGCGACCCCCGAGAGCCTCTGGAAAGCTCCTGGAACTTTCGTCGAGAATCCCCGAATGCTGCCGAAAATGGCTGGGTACGATAGTCATGAACACGCTGCGGACGCAACAGATAATACGATCGGTGAAGATTGTAGGCGGAGGCCATGGTCATACAATGATGCTGTCGCACCCCTGATTTACCCGGCAGCCCATTGCACCTGGACTGCATTCGACCTGGCTCCTTCCCACTGCGCCGACCACCACCTTCACCACTGTGACCGTGCCTCCTGCAACGGCTCCTGCCGCACCGCCGCCCTCGCCAGCATCGTCCACCCCAACGGCGTGCATTGGTGGAACAATCACGGCAACATCGACGCTCTCGCCCGGCTGCCCAAGCACAATGAAGCCCAGCAGCTGAGCATCGCCGGTGGCTGCACGCAGCAGCTCGCTCTCGCCCAGGGCGTCGCTCTCGCCTGCGGCGGCCGAGCCGATCGCACGTGCAGCCATGAAGCGCTGCGGCGAGACCGCGACGTACTTGGCCTGCTCGCCCAGCAGCACCCAGCCCCCGGAGAGCACGGGCGCAACCTGATGCAGCCGCACGTCTGTTGCATTCCCCGTCTTGGTCGTTTCTGTGGCCATGTGAACTGGCGGCGCGCTCTCGCTGAAGGCCTGCACGCACGAGGCCGCAGGCACGCCGTCTTCGCACGGTGCGCCGAAACGTGTAACAACGTAGCCGCGGCCCGAGAGCGCGGGCGGCGATAGCTGTGCTGGCGTGATGGAACAACCGCTCTCGCCCATGTTCCAGAGCAACAAGCTGTACCACCACAGCCCACCAGCCTCGGACCCCGCACAGTGCGGGAACAACCTTGCCATCGAATTCGCCCGGCGATCGTGCCGCGCGGACCCGTTTGCTCTCGCGGGAACCGTTGGTGCCGACCAGACCTCGGCCTTTGCACACTTGTTCCCTGTGGCATCGAGGTAGAAGTTGTCGAGCCTGTGTGCAGCGAATCCTGGTTTGAGGATGACCCCATCCAAGCGGAGCGCTCGATTCAGCAATGTGAGATTGGTGCCACCGATCATGTCACCGATGCCGACGGCGCCCGTGGTGAGCGTCGCCATCATCAAGTTGCGCTCGAGGTCCGTCGTCCCCGGACCCCGCGGGGGCCCACACGTCGGCTCCGTCTGCACGCTCGTGGTCCGCAACGCATCTACCACGGGCCGGATCCCCAGGGATGCGAGGAAGAGGCCCGTGGAGGCGAAGGCGCTCGTCGTGGCTCTCCGCTCCTGGAAGTCGTAGGAGCAGCGGGCCGAGACCAGGGCGGACCAGTTGCGCGCGACGCTCAGCATCTGATCTGAGGGCAGCGACTGGTCCGTCCGGATGGGGACGCGCCACTTGGTGGCACCTCCGGGTCCGAGCCCGTGGGATGGCCCCAGGTAGCCGTCCAGCCAGAGCTCGTGCGCGTCGGTGCTGTTGATGCGCGAGGTGTAGCCCAGAAACCATGTGGTGAGAGTGTCGACCACCATGGCGTGCATGTTGTTGTTGCGCACACCGTATCCGATGACGTCGTCCCAAAAACGGTGCGACTCGGATGCGACCGCCTGCGCAGTCCTGGAACAGCAGCCGGTCCAATACGACAACTGAGCGTCGGGAAGGTCTTGGTCCTCCATGGTGTAGTGATCGGCGTACTCGTTCCCTTTCGCACTCTCGTTTCCCCAGCGCGCCACCTGCGTCTTTGAGCCCGCTAGTAACATGTATAGCATCTGCCAATGGGTGCCAGGGTTGGAGCCGTTTTCGCCGAGGCCAAGTGGCCAATGATACTCAGAATGCGACCAGTTGCTGGCCCAGGGCCCATCGCACCGCCCATTGGCCCGGTGGGTGTGCCAAAATGGATCAAGGTGGTAGATGCCGATGCGCAAATTCACAGACTTGTGGTAATCCTGCAGCAACTTGATAGTCACATGCATCGGGACCTTGGAGGCTGCTTGGCAGGCAGGCACCTGACAATAGCAGTAGTAACCTCCGTTGTCCATCATATAGTGAAGCACGCGGCTGTACTCATCGTCGTCGAGGCTGAGCTTCACCGAACCTCCGTTGGCTTGCATCACTTGGCCCCACGACGTGTACGCAGCCGCGATACCACCTCTGCCAATGAGCACCGCCTCTTGCTCGTACGCCACAGGTACTGAATCGATGTACCCACTCACGCCGACCGAGACACGATCGCCAGTCGGAATCGGAGTGGAGGTCGGCTCCATCGGCCCTGCGCCTCGAATAGGCTCCGCCGCTTGTGAGACATACACCGCCTTGTGATGGGTCAGAGGAGTCAGCACGATGCAAGGTAGCTGCTGGGTGGTGAGGTTCGCTGCGGTGCTGTTGAACATCGCGAGAAATCCGCCTCCAAGACCGCCTGCGAAACTATTCATTTTGTTGGTGACAAAATTTGTGGCAATCAGATCGCCATTTGTTGCCATGAAGTTCAGTGCGGAAGGAACCTTGAACGAAGGAAAGTGCGAAGCCAGTGGCAATGCCGGCTCCAAAGAACCATCGTTTCCCGCGTGTTCCTTGCCAGCACCCGGGTCACCCGCCCATTGGCCTGGTAATGGCCGTCCATCTGCGTTGGCGACTCCAGACTTGGGCGTGGGATAGGCTAACGTGCTGGTGGCGCCATTCGGGAACGAGAGCTTGAATGCGAATGCGTCGAAATCGTGCAAGTAGCGAATGGTGGCAATGACCTCGCACGAAACACCCTGCGATGAATCCTCGCGACTGTTCGTCGCAGCGGTGGCAAACCGCTGCGACACTTCGTCCACCCGGCCAAGTCGCTGGTCAGTGATGGAGTGCTGCTCCTGCGGGCCAAGGGGCAAGAGGCCTCCGTTGTGTGAGGACTGATACTGTCCGCCACATCGCAAACCAACCAAGCCGTGTGATAACTCGATCGCGCTCCCAGAATAGCCTTCGACGACGGCCTTATACGTGAAATCCCACCAGCCCTTTCGGGCGTGATTGGTTTAGCGGGTTTCCTCTTCCAACCCCCTTCTTTCCCACCAGGGAGGGATGTACCCCTCCCCCTAACCCCTCTCCCTTGGACCTGGAGGGGGGGGGCGGCGAGGCGTTGGAGCGTCCAAGACGGCCTCGGCGAGAAGGCAAGCATGATTGATTTTTCCGTAGATTTGGGGACCATTTTGGCCTCCTGGGGTGGTGGTGGGCCCCATTGGACCCTGCCCCTTCTTTGATCGAACTCCTCCAAGACGGCTCCAAGATAGCGCCCAAGGCTCCGAAGAGTGCCCCAAGAGGGCCCAAAGAGGCGCCCAGTAGGCCCAAAGAGGCCCACAAGAGTTCCCCAAGAGACTCCCAAGAGATCCCCAAGAGGCCCAAGAATCTCCCACGAGGCACCAAAGACGCTCCAAGAGGCCCCCGGGACCGCCAAGAGGCCCCCTAGACGCCCCAAGAGAACTCCGAAAAGCTCTCGAGAGACATCCGAAGCGACTCCGAGAGGTATCCAAGAGGCCTCTGGCCTTTCTGTTCGCCCTCCTCCTCCTCCTCCTCCTCTTCCTCCTCCTCATCCTCCTTCTCCTCCTCCTCCTCCTCTTCCTCTTCCTCTTCCTCCTCCTCCGCCTATTCCTTCTACTTCTCCCTCCTCCTCTCCCTCCTCTCCCTCCTTGCCCTCCTCCTCCTCCGGTAACTCCTCCATGACGGCTTCCCTAGCCCTTTCTTCCACTGCATGCTTCTCCACATCCCTGGTCAGGGCAATTCGCCTAGGCATTCTTTTTGTATGGGCTGGTGGGCTTACTTTTTTTGATCTGCGGCTCAAAGGACGACTCCAGAGAGCGGGTCAATCTCGACAGGGGCACCAAGCGCTGGTGGGTTTACGCGAAGCGTCTAGAATTTTCGAGTACGGTCAGCTGGACATGTTGCCCGCGCTGCCAGCCAACAGCGTCAGAAGGAGAGTCCGAGGAAGAATCCGAAGATGCGGCTAGCAACAAGGAGAGGGGCACCGCCATACTGCCGCGCTTTGCCTGCCGCATGCTACCCACAACCGTAACAGTCGCAACTACAACCCGCGATGCTGTACCCACCTAACCGGACCAACACGCCCTGACTGAGCCCAAGCGGCCTGAGCCAGGTGTCCACGGTGGCCAAGGAGGAGCGGAGAGCTGCGCGTGCGTTGCGAAGAGGCACAGCAGCAGGAGCCATATCCTGACAAGCGAGCCTGCTCGTCACGTGGGACGCAGACGACACAAGGCAGCCCCAAGACAGTCCGAACAGACCCCTATGGGAGGCCCACGGGACACGGAGACGAGAGGTGCCGCCGACAGCCTTCTGGGCGGTGCTCGATGGGCTGCCACACAGCGTGCCCCGCTGGCACGGTGGCGGACTTGCCGCAGAGGCACTTCGAAGTACGATGGTGGCGGCGGCAGGTTCGACCTCTCCCCTGTCGCCCTCGCTCCCCCTGCGCTTCGCAGGCAGAGGCCTCCCGGATGGGGTCCGAGCCGATGGGGTCGAAGGATCGCGCCGCATCGGTGACGTCGGCGTGGGGAAGCACGGGCTCCACATCGACTCCTCCTCCTCCTCCTCCTCCTCCTCCTCCTCCTCGTCGATGCATCGGCGATGCGGCGCGATCTTCCGACCCCATCCAGTAGGACCCCACCTAGGAGGCCTAGAGCAGGGTGCCCCGTCTCTCGCGCCGACCTCCCCGCGGGGCGCCCCCCGCCCTCCTGAGCACCGACCGCTGGAGCGCCGACGCGGCGCTCTCCCCTCTCCTGGCGGGGCTGGGGCCACGCACGGGAGCAGGCGCCGGGCTGAGACCCTCCGTACCTCCCCCTGCACTCAGCAAGGGCATAGAAGCATATATATATATATATATATATATATATATATATATATAGATGTGTATATATATACATGTACATATAGGTATATACACATAGAGAGAGAGAGAGAGAGAGAGAAAACAACAAAAAAAAAAAAAAAAAAAAAAAAAAAAAACGTGGGCAACGGTCGTTACCGGGGGGGGTCGGGCGGGAGGCTAACGGTAACGGCGGCCGCGGCTGCGTCCGCGCCACCGGCGCATCACTCGCCTGCGTGCGCCACAGTCTATGCGCAACGCAGTAGCCTGCAAACGCCACAGCACGCCTGTGAGCACCGAATCATGCCTTTCAGCACCACGCCATGCCTGTGAGCTCGGCGCCGCAACAAGCAGAGAGCCTGCGAGCGCTGCAATAGGTTTGTGAGCACCGAAGCATGCCTCTTAGCACCACGCCATGCCTGTGAGCACAGCGCCATACCCGCGGGGGGTCCACCTGTAGCGTGTAGGGAAGGGGTCCAGGCCACCCCGCCCAGTGCGATTGTCAGCGTTACCCGGGTGGTGGTGGTGTTTGGTCTGGGTACGTTACGCTGGGGAGGATAACAAAACGCTCACGAGAGAGAGAGAGAGATAAATAAAAAAGAAAGAAAAAGAGAGAGGGAGAGAGAACGAGAGAGCGAAAGAGAGGGAGAGAGAGAGAAAGCGAGAGATATATATATATATAGAGAGAGAGAGAGAGAGAGAGACATGCCAGCATCGTGAACTTACCCCAGCACAGCACCCGAATAGCAGGCGGCACGGGTGAAGAGGCGGGTCGAGGAGTAGGAGGTCGGCTGTAGGCAACAGGGTTGAGGTTGAGAGCGCGGCCATGTGCACCTGACGGTATTCTGATCAAGAATCGTGGCTAGCTGGACCAAAAATGTAGTCGTCATTAAGGCGGGAGCACGATTCCAGAATCCGTCGGCGCCCGCTTGCCGGGGATGCAAAGGCGTGTGGGACATTTGGCTGCCCCCATCCCTGCAAAATCGTATTGAAGGGGGGGGGGGGAGCCCAGGCTCCAAGGGGGTGGGTGCGCGGGCTCCCCAGCACACCTGTGGGGCCTCCGGAGCCTGCAATATCCACCCTCCGTGGCCGCCAAGATCACAGGATGCTTTCTAAAATTGCTCCAGAAGAGCTCCAACACGCCGGTAAAGCCTCAATAACACCCAATATAGTCTCATGACGGCCGAAGGCGCCGAAAAGAAACCTCAACAGGCCCCCCCAAGAGAGTCCCAAGAGGCTAACAACATCGATTGTCCATTCGTTTTTGCATGATGTTCGAGTTCTCGGCTCTCTGGCGTCTGCGCGATCAAGACGGCCGAAGAGGCCTCCCAGCCTGGCCCAAACCGGCCCAAGAGATCTTCAAAACGGCCCAGAGACGGCAAAGGAGACAGCAAGGTTCCAGTGTTGGTTCTGCTTTACGTGCTCATCATTCGAGAACTAGAGGAGCAGAGCAATGCCCGAGCCAGAACCAGACCAGGCTTGTTCACAGTCGAGATGCACATGATCCCATGACTCTCCACTGATGCGGCACGACCCATACCTGGACCTGGCCCATGGCTGCGGTGGAATAGTTCCCCAAACGGTGCTTGCACATAAGATTTCTTACTTGTCTTCACCATCTGGTTTGGACACCCGAAATGGGTACCGAAAGAATGGGTACAATGCCCAACAACAAATGTTGTCCCAAACCAACAGCGGCCGCTGTTGGGCAGGCGGCCTTCTGTCTCGAATGGACACAGGCCGCGGCGGCGTGGAGAGCGAATCCTGTTCAGAATGAACAAGAACTGCTGTTGGACATCGTACCCATTCTTTCCGTGCCCATCTCGGGCGTCCAGATCTGGGGACCTGTCCCCCGTCTTTTCCGGGCGGTGCCGCTCATCGCCGCCTCGCCGCCGCCCGTCGCCTGGGCCCCAGTGCCGGCTTTTCCGGGCGGTGTCGCCCGTCGCCGCCCCGTCGCCGCCTCGTCGCCGCCCCGTCGCCGCCCACATCCATTGCACCACACAACTTGCACTACACGGATTGCACCACATGGAGTGCACCACATTGATTCTCTTTTCTAAGAAGAGAATGGACTCTACCCCCCCCCCGGAGTTATCGCCCCCCCTTTTTCGGGTATGTAAATCACATACTATTATGACCACATGTCCATCCTAAATCTGAAATCACAATGTATCCCCCCTGAGGTTATCTTTTTTTTGTGTGTGTGTTTGTTGTTAAAAACACTATGCGGTGGCATGTTTTGTTCTAACATAACACTTGTTCACGAATCCCTTGCAAACGCTGGGACGAAGTGCACACGGGCGCGTCGTCGCGCGCGCATGCCGAAATCCTTCAACAACCTTCGGTCCCGGAGAGATTTCGCAATCGAGTTTCCAAACGACATATAAAAACACAAGGTTTCGCAACACTGATTTGCTAAACAAGCTTCCGCGAAAGCTCTTGCGATTTTTTGTTATATATATGTATTAAAACCTTTAGGTTTTTCAATATTTTCACAACGTGCTATTAAACGGGCTTCGCGCGCGCATGTCGAAATCTGTCGAACGCCCTTGCGCGTGTGCCGTCGCGAGAATCCTGCAAAAAATGGGGCGAAGTGCAGACGCGCGCGTAGGTATCACGGCCCCCGCCGTGAAAAATCCACCCTCCCCCCAGTCACGACGCCCCTCTTGGCTGCCCCCGAGACAAGAGCCTGCGCGGCCCAGGGGGGGGGGGCGGGGACGCATTGAAACAAGAAGCGAGGCCCTGAAATCTAGGGAGGTATCACGGCCCCCGCCGTGAAAAATCCCCCCTCCCCCCAGTCATGGCGCCCCTCTTGGCCGCCCCCGAGGCAAGAGCCTGCGCGGCCCACGGGGGGGGGGGGGGGGGACGCATTGAAACAAGAAAATCTGCTGGAAATCTGGGGAGGTATCACGGCCCCCGCGGTGAAAAATCCACCCTCCCCCCAGTCACGACGCCCCTGTTGGCTGCCCCCGAGACAAGAGCCTGCGCGGCCCAGAGGGGGGGGGCGGGGACGCATTGAAACAAGAAACGGCGCCCTGAAATCTGTGGAGATATCATGGCCCCCGCCGTAAAAAACACCCTCCCCCCAGTCATGACGCCCCTCTTGACTGCCCCCGGGACAAGAGCCTGCGCGGCCCAGGGGGGGGACCGGGGACGCATTGAAACAAGAAACGGCGCCCTGAAATCTGTGGAGGTATCACGGCCCCCGCCGTGAAAAATCCACCCTCCCCCCAGTCATGACGCCCCTCTTGGCCGCCCCCGAGGCAAGAGCCCGCGACGCTCTTGGCGTGCGACCGCCGGGGGAGAAGCTCGAGGCAGAGGCACCGTGGCCGCGGCGGGCGGCCACGGCGCAGCGCGGCAGTGCAGCGATCCGCGGAGTCCCCCTGGGAGTGCGCGCCGCGGGCGCACGGGGAGAGACAAGGAGAGCGAGAGAGAGAAAGAGATTTTTGTATATACATATATATAATTAAAAATAGGTATACATGTGTGTATCTATACATATATGTATATATATATGTATATATATATATATATAGAGAGAGAGAGAGAGAGAGCAAGCGAAAGAGATAAAAGGAGAGAGAGAGGGAGAGAGACATAGAAAGAGCGAGAGAGAAAGAGAGTGAGAGAAAGAGAGAGAGAGAGAGAGAGAGAGACATGCCCGCGTCGTGCAAACATGACGGCGGAACGCTCTTGTCCGTTCTCGGCCTCGGGGGGCCCTCGCGGGGCCCGGGGGGCCGAAAAGAAGCAACTCGGGGTGAAACGCTGGCCCTGGGGAAAGGGTGGGGACTTCCTGGGGACTGCGTACTGGAAACGTCATAAGCATCGGACGTCTGGGACGGGAGAGGGACGAGAGAGAGGGAGAGAGAGAGAGAGAGAGAAGAATGAGCGGGTCGGAGGAAGAGGACAATGGGGTAATTATGAGAGCGGGAGGGATGGAGGCAAGGCGATAGTGGCAGCGAGGCGGGAAAGTGAGGACCGAATGAGGCACGACGAGGGATGACCAGAACGGCTGACGTCTCACCCAACGACCCCACGTCTCACCCCACGACCCCGCCAGGATGCAATCGTCAACTGCAAACTGGTCGCGACTGCGACCTTGAGGCTCACAAGAGGAAACGGTGCCAACCCCCAGAGAGAACCCACTGCCCGCACAAGATGACGGCAATCGTACGGACGTGCGCGCACATACCCGATCAAGCCATCACGAGTCTGGGAGGTGTGGTGGCGCCCCAGCTACGCAACGGCGCGCCGAGCGAGGGATCATCTTAGTAAGCCCCGATTCGCCCGCGGACAGGACAGCCAAAGAGAGTCGATATTCGCGAGAGCGTGGTTCACCGCCGCCTTACTATGGAAAATTCCCCACCCCCCCTGCTCGAACCCCCCTCCTCCCCCTGCTCGAACCCCCCTCCTCCCCCCCCCTTCTCCCGTCAAAACCCCCCAAACTCCCCCCCCCCTCTTCTCTGGATAACCCCGGGGGGTCACTACCGGTTCGAACCCCCCTCCCCCCCCCCCTCCAGAAAACCAGCGGGGGTCACTACCAGCTCGAACCGCCCCCCCCCCCCTCCCCCCTTCGCCGCCGGCAAAAGACTCCTGGGTCCCCACCACCGTCGTCACCACTGTCCCCACCACCACCGTCCTCACCACTGTCCCCCAATGTTCCCACCACTGTCCCCACTATCCCCACCAATCCACCCACCACCGTCGCACTGTCCCCACTGTCCCCGCCACTATACCCACCACGATCCCACTCTCCCCACTGTCCCCACCACTGTCCCCACTGTCCCCACCACTGTCCCCACTGTCCCCACTATCCCCGCCGCTGTCCTACTAAGCTGTCCCACTGTTCCCACCAATGTCCCACTGTCTCTACCACTCTCCCCACTGTACCACTATCCCACTGTCCCACCACCGTCCTCAACACCGCCCTCACCACTGTCCCCACCACAACCGTCCCCACCACTGCCCCACTGTCCCCACCACCGTCCCAATGTCGCCTCACAACTGTCCCCGCCACCACCGGCCCAACACTGCCCCACTGCCCCCATTGTCCCCGCCACTGTCCAACCGTTCCCACCACTGACCCCACTTTCCCCACCAGTTCCCCCACCACTGTCGCACTGTCCCCACTGTCCCCACCACAACCGTCCCCACCACGATCCCACTTTCTCCACTGTCTTAACTGTCCCCACCAGTGTCCCACTGTCCCCACTGTCCCCGCCACTGTCCCACTGTCCCCACCACTGTCCCATTGTGCTGCCCCACTGTCCACACTGTCCCCACTGTCCCCACCACTCTCCCCACTGTACCACTGTCCCACCACCGTCCTAACCACCGCCCTCACCACTGTCCCCATGACCACCGTCCCCACCACTGTCCCACTGCTGTCCCCACCGCCACCGTCCCCACCACTGTCCCACTGCTGTCCCCACCACCACCGTCCCCACCACTGTCCAACTGTCCCCATTTTCCCCGCCACTGTCCCACTGTCCCCACAGTCCCCACCACTGTCCCCACTGTCCCCGCCACTGTCCCCACCACTGTCCCCAACAGTCGCACTGCCCCCACTGTTCCCACCACTGCCCCCACCACGGTACCACTCTTCCCACTGTCCCCACTCCCCACCACCATCCCCACCACCGTCCCAACCACTGTCCCCACCAGTCCCCCATCCAGAATGGGAGAGGAGGGGGAGTCGTTGCCGCGAGGGAGGAGGGAGGGGGGGGAACGGGGGAGGGAGCTCGAACCGGTAGTGACCCCCCCCGTTTTCTAAGAGGGGGGGGAGGGGTTCGAACCCGTAGTGACCCCCCCTTTTCATGATGGCCCGGGGGTGGGGGGGAGGGGGGGTTGGAACCCCCCATGACCTCCCTGGTTTTCGAGCGGGGGGAGCTTGGGGGACGGGTTGGAAACCCCCAGTGACCCCCCCCCCTGGATTTCTGCCAGCAACGGAACAACACGCTCTTTCCGATATTGAGAAAGGGAGAGGGAGAAAGAGAGAGAGAGAGAATAAGAAAAAAACAAAAAGAGAGAACTACCAAAGAGAGAGAGAGAGGGAGAGAGAGAGAGAGAGAACGAAAGAGGGAGCAAGCGAGCGAGAAAGAGAGAGAGAGAGAGAGAGAAAAAAAATAAGAGAGAGAGAGAGAGAGCGCGCATTCGCTTCACGAACACGCTCCTTGTAAGCACAGGCTGCGCAATGGCACAATCACCAAGGCCGGAGAAAAGAAGACTGCGACTGCCATCAGTTGTCATTACCGTCTTTTCACACACGCACAACACTAGCATCCCTGATGAATTCACTGTTGTCTTAACTCTCAACCTTCACCTTCTGGAGCCGCGAACTCTCCCACATATGCATTGGAAATCTCGGTTCGAACTCAACGTTCCTCCCCTGCAGCTGCCCCAATGGAGGCTCCGTCCCTCCACGAGCACTTGCAGCTTGGTGCAAGCAGCTTCGCAGCCTGTCGGGGACCGGGGGAGACACGACGGCTGAAGAGAGTATGCAAAGACTCACCTTTAAGTTAGCAAATATGTGGCTACCGAAGAACTCGCCATGCCAATATGTCGACAGTCGGTGCGAATACAGGAACGTATGATATGTTATAGAGCAGACCTCGACAATCTTATCAACTTCCCAGCGCTCTCATGAGCGCTCTGAGACAAGTAGGCGAAGACAGAGCCACAGCAATGGAGCTGGCGAGTCCCATTGGGGTGGAAGGCCCTTCAGGTACATGGGGAACATGAGCGAGCCTGCACATTGATTAAGTTCAAGAGGACACCTCGAACAATGACGAACACGCCTACCACGGACACATAGAAGACAATCCCAAACATATGATGAGCTGCATTGCAGTCCGCGCGCAGAAGCGATGCCTTACAACAGCTGCGCGGTGCAATACAACTATCATCAGAGACACTTGTGCAATGCATCATCCAAAGCACCGTCAAGACCTGATCGGAGAACGAAGGTATTAGATCCCGACTGCGTCCTCCCCCTCCACTCCCCCTCCAACTCCCCCTCCACCTCCCCCTCCACCTCTTTCTCCACCTCCCCCTCCACCCCCTCGGATGTCCCTTGGAACCTTTTTGGGAGCACCCAGGGGGCTTCAGAGAACCCCAAGAGGGCTCCAAGACGCGCCCCAGATCACTGAGAGGTCTCATCCACACGCGCTGTTCGATGACACCTAGTAGCGGTTTCTGAGGCCTCGCTTGGGCCCCTCTTGGGCCCGTCTTGGGGCCCTCTTAGGGCCCTCTTGGAGCCATCATATGGGCCAACAAGGAGCCCAAGAGGGCTCCGAGAGGGCCCCAAGAGGGCCCCAAGAGGGTTTAGGAGTTATGTACCAACGGCCGCTGGGTTGGTACATAATTCCTGGGGCCCTCTTGAAGCCCTCGTGGGGCCCTCTTGGGGCCCTCTTGGAGCCAACCCGGGGCCCAAGAGGGCTCCAAGAGGGCGCTCAGAGGGCCCAAGGAGTTATGTACCACCGGCCGCTGGGTTGGTACATAATTCCTGGGGCCTTCTTGGGGCCAACCAGGGGCCCAAGGGGGCTCCAAGAGGGACCTCAGAGGGCCCCAAGAGGGCCCCAGGAGTTATGTACCAGCGGCCGCTGGGTTGGTACATAATTCTTGGGGCCTTCTTGGGGCCCTCTTAGGGCCAACCAGGGGCCCACCCAAGAGGGCTCCGAGAGGGCCCTGAGAGGGCCCAAAGAGGGCCCCAGAAACTATGTACCAGCGGCCGCTGGGTTGGTGCATAATTCCTGGGGCCTTCTTGGGGCCCTCTTGGAGCCCTCTTGGGGCCCTCTTGGGGCCCTCTTAGGGCCCTCTTGGAGCCATCTTATGAGCCAACCAGGGTTCCAAGAGGGCCCTAGGAGGGCCCCAAGAGCGGCCAGGCATGCCGGAGTCCCACGGAGACCACCAGGTGCCTCCGATGTCTCACGGGGGGCACCCAGTAACTCCGATGTCCCACGGGCCGATGTCCCACGGGGACCACGGGGTACCTCCGATGTCCCCCGGGGGACACCGGGTAACTTCGATGTCCCACGGGGACCACCGAGTAACTCCGATGTCCCACGGGGGACACCGGGTAACTCCGATGTCCCACGGGCCGATGTCCCACGGGGACCACCGGGTAACTCCGATCTCCCACGGGGGACCCCCGGGTGACTCCGATGTCCCACGGGGGGGCACGGGGTAACTCGTGCCCAGACCCCCCCCTGCAAGGTCGAGTTACCCGATGCCCCGCGGGGGACACCGGGTAACTCCGATGTCCCACGGGCCGATGTCCCACGGGGACCACCGGGTAACTCCGATGTCCCACGGGGAACACCGGGTAACTCCGATGTCCCACGGGCCGATGCCCCACGGGGACCACCGGGTAACTCCGATGTCCCACGGGGGACACCGGGTAACTCCGATGTCCCACGGGGGGCCACCGGGTAACCATGCCCAGACCCCCCCCCTGCAAGGTCGAGTTACCCGATGTCCCCCAGGAGACACCGGGTAACTCCGATGTCCCACGGGCCGATGTCCCACGGGGACCATGCACCGGGGGACTCCGATGTCCCATGGGGGCCCACCGGTTTACCGAATAATGCCGAATTCGACTTACCCGACGCCCCTCGGGGGCCACCGGGTAAGTGGGGGGTGTGGAGCGCACCCCCCGCTTACCCGATGTCCCCCAGGGGGACACCGGGTAACTCATGCCCGACACCCCCCCGCGCAAGGTCGAGTTACCCGATGCCCCCCCACTCGCCACCGGGTAACCTGTGCCTAACACTCCCCCCTGCAAGGTCGAGTTACCCGATGTCCCCCCGGGGTCACCGGGTAAGTGGGGGGTGTGGAGCGCACCGCCCAGTTACGCGATGCTCCCAAGGGGGGCGCCAAGTAACACATGCCCGTCGTCGTCGTCGTCGTCGTCGTCGTCGCCGGTAGTCGATCGTGGGCCGGAAAAACTTGAGGCTTCGGATCCGTTTTGGGGCTCCCCGGGCCCCGAGGGCTCCAAAACCCTTGGGAAAAGCAGCAGCAAAACTTACCACTCCAGGTCGAGGCGTCGTCGTCGTCGTCGTCTGCGGGTCGAGAGCTCCGGGATGGGGCCGAAAGCTCCCGGTTGGGGTCGGGAACTCCTGGACGGGGTCGAGAGCTCTGGGGTCAAAACAGGGGCCGGGAAATTTGGTCCAAGTGTCGCTGCCTGGTCCTGCAGGGGCTGGGTAAGGATGCGTTTACACCTCCTCCTCCTCGTCGTCGTCGTCGCCGAGAGTTATGTACCAGCGGCCGCTGGGTTGGTGCATAATTCCTGGGGCCTTCTTGGGGCCATTTTGGAGCCCTCTTGGAGCCCTCTTGGGGCCCTCTTGGGGCCCTCTTGGGGCACTCTTGGGGCCCTCTTAGGGCCAACCATGGGCCCGAGAGGGCTCCGAGAGGGCCCTCAGAGGGTTCAGGAGTTATGTACCAGCGGCCGCTGGGTTGGTACATAATTCCCGGGGCCTTCTTGGGGCCCTCTTGGGGCCCTCTCAGGGCCCTCTCGGAGCCATCTCATGGGCCAACCAGGGGCCCAAGAGGGCTCCAAGAGGCCCCCAAGAGGGCCCCAGGAGGTATGTACCAGCGGCCGCTGGGTTGGTGCATAATTCCTGGGGCCTTCTTGGGGCCCTCTTGGAGCCCTCTTGGGGCCCTCTTGGGGCCCTCGTGGGGCCATCTTATGGACGGCGACGACAACGACATCGACGACGACGACGATGACGACGACCACGACGACAACGACGACGACGACGACGACCACGACGATGGTGGCGACGACGACGACGACCACGACGACGACGACGACGACGACGACGACGACGACGACGACGACGGCGACGACGACGACGACGACGACGACGACGACGACGACGACAACGACGACCACGACGACGACGCGCCCGAAATCAGTCGACAAAGCGACCCAACAGTTAAACCGACAAAGTGTCCTTCTTTTGGCCGCAGCGGCTCCGAGACAGCCTGCAGGGCACCCTTTTTTTGCCGCAGCGACTCCGAGAAGCCTGCAGCTCAGCGCGGGTTCGTCTGCGGATGCCTCTGCCCCCCCCCCCCCCCCCCTCAGACAAAAAATCAGCCCGACGCCCCCGGTGATTTTTTTCGGCCCGCCCGTGCAAGGCCCCACGGCCAGCTCTTGGGTCGAGGAAGAAGAGGAGCAGGAGGACGAGGACGCTCGTCAAGACGAAGACGAGGAGAAGGAGGAGCAGGAGGACGCGGAGGTTGAGCAGGGGGACAAGGACGAAATGAGAGGCCTTAAGCGGCTCCGAAAACCCTGCAGCTCAGCGCGGTCTGGTCTCGGAGCCGCTTCGGGCCTTTCATTCCGTCCTTGACCCCTTGCTCAACCTCGTCCTCCTGCTCCTCCTGCTCCTCTGGTTCCTCTTGATCACCTCCTCGTCCTCCTGCCCCTCCTCCTCCTCGACCCAATAGCTGGCCGTGGGGCCTTGCAAGGGCGGGCCGAAAAAAATCACCGGGCCTCGGGGTGATATATTTTTCCTGGGGGGGGCAAGGGCGTCCGCAGACGAGCCCGCGCTGAGCTGCAAGCTTCTGGGAGCCGCATCGGGCCTCTGATTCCGTCCTTTCCTCTTGCTCTTCCTCTTGGACTGTTTCCTCGCCCTTTGGGGCCCTTTTGGGGCCATCTTGAAGTCAAGGCCGTCTTGGGACCATCTTGTGGACATCTTGGGCCGTCGGACAGCCGAAAAAGAAAACGCGCCCAAATTATTCAACAAGTGAAGGGAATACAACCATTTGGGCATTTCGGGCTCTCCTTGAGGTCCTCTTGAAGACTTCCTAGACTGTCTAGGAGGCCCCTTGGATCCCCCTGGGGCCCTCTGGGGCTGTCTTGGGCCATCCTGGGGCTATGCCGAATCGTATCGTTGCCATCTTGGACGTTTTGGAGCCGTCGTGAAGACCATCGTGGGCGCCTTGGAGTTCTCGTGGGCCGTCTTGGAGGCGTCTTGGGGGCCTCTTGGACCGTCTGGAGGCCGTCATGGGGCCGTCTTGGAGGCCCCTTGGGCGCTCTTGGGGCGATCTTGGGGGTCTCTTGGGCGGCATTGGGCCGTTGGCAGGCCGAAAACATCAAAATCCGTCAAGAGCCCACGGGAAATCAGCTGTCTTTGCCTCTTCGGGCCTTCCTGCAGGTCCCCTTGGAGGCTTCTTGGACTGCATTGGAAGCCTCTTGGGGGCATTTGGGGCCGTCCTGGGCCATCTTGGGGCCATCTTGGAACGCCTCGGTTGCATCTTGGGCCGTCTTGGAGACATATTGGGGCCGTCTTGGGCTCTCTTGGGCAATCCTAGCCGCCTTGGAGGCATCTTGGTGGCCATCTTGGTCCATTTGGGCCGTCTTGGTGGCGATGTGGGCCACACCTTCTGGTCCTTCCGAGGGGCAGGCGGTCTGTGCCGAAGGCCACTGGGAAGGGTTTGACAATACCATGAGCAGCAA